CAATCAGTTGAGTGGAACTCATCACTATACATCAACTTCATTGATTATGAAAAGGCATTCGACAGTGTAGACAGGAGGACGTTATGGAAACTTCTTCGACACTACGGAATTCCTGAGAAGATTGTCAATATTATCCGGAACTCATACGACGGACTACAGTGCAAAGTAGTGCATGGAGGACAGCTGACAGATGCATTCCAAGTAAGGACCGGAGTCAGACAAAGCTGTTTACTCTCTCCCTTCCTTTTTCTCCTGGTGGTCGACTGGATTATGAAGACCTCAACATCTGAAGGAAAACACGGAATACAATGGACAGCTCAGAATCAATTAGACGATTTGGACTTCGCAGATGACCTAGCCCTCCTATCACGTACACACGAACAGATGCAGATGAAGACAGCCAGTGTAGCAGCAGTCTCCGCATCAGTAGGCCTCAGCATACACAAAGGGAAAACTAAGGTCCTCAAATTCAAAGCGGAGAACAGCAATCCAATCACACTTGATGGCGAAACTCTGGAAGATGTAGAGTCCTTCACATACCTGGGAAGCATCATCGATGAACAAGGAGGATCCGATGCAGACGTAAAGGCAAGGATTGACAAAGCAAGGGTCGCATTCCTACAATTGAAGAACATATGGAACTCAAAACAACTTTCAACCAATATCAAAGTAAGAATCTTCAATACGAACGTCAAGGCAGTTCTACTGTATGGAGCTGAAACTTGGAGAACTACAACAACCACAATCAAGAAAGTACAAGTATTTATAAATAGCTGTCTACGCAAGATACTCAACATCCATTGGCCGGCTACCATCAGCAACAGCCTTCTGTAAGAGAGAACAAACCAACTTCCAGCTGAAGAAGAAATTAGGAAAAGACGATGGAAGTGGATAGGACATACATTACGCAAATCGTCAAACTGCATCACGAGGCAAGCCCTAACTTGGAATCCTGAAGGGAAGCGAAAAAGAGGAAGGCCAAAGAACACATTGCGTCGGATAATAGAAGCAGATATGAAAAGGATGAATTACAACTGGACGGAGCTAGAAAGGATTGCCCAGGACAGGGTTGGATGGAGAACGCTGGTGAGCGGCCTATGCTCCTTCACGAGGAGTAACAGGCGTAAGTAAGTAAGTATATTACAAATTTAAACTCTATCCTTTCTTACCATAAAGGTCACACAAGTTTTCATTCTTAAACAATGCACATATACATACACACACAAATTTACATACTTATCATTTATGAATCACCTTGACAGAAATGACATGACATCAACTTGTTCAGACCTGTTTTTGATTGATCAAATATTATTCTTGCATTGTTCCGTTGTACTATTTAAACTTGGATTAATTTAATTTTGGTTATTTATTCTCTGAAGAAGTGACTTACACTAAGCCACGAAACGTCAGAAAATCCAATTTTCTACTCATTGGGATATTACAAATATATTATTTTTATTTATAACAATCAACCCAATGCTCAATTTATTCGAAATTATCAAATCAAACCTTGGTAATGACACCTATAAGATAGCTATGTGATACAACGAAGAAACTAGCAGGGAAATATAGTAAACCAGAGAGACTGGTCAAAGACAAAGAAGGTACGACAATCACGGAGATTCAAGAACGGAGGAACAGACGGATAGAATACTTTGAGGAACTGTTGAATAGTCCAGCTCCATTGAATCATCTGGACATCGAAGCGACACACATAGACCTTCCCATAGACGTCATCCCACAAACGATAGAAGAAATCAGGATGACAATCAGACAAATCAAGCATGAGAAGGCAGCAGGACCTGACAATATACCGGCTAAAGCACTGAAGTCAGACATAAAAGTAACCACAAACATATCCCACATCCCATTCAAGAAGATTTGGGAGGAAGAACAAGTGCCGATAGACTGCAAAGAAGGTTACCTCATTGACATACTTAAGGAGATCTGAGCAAACGTGAGAGCTAAAGAGGAATCACACTACTGTTTGTACCAGATAACGTTTTCAACAGAGTGTTGATGAACCGGAAGAAACATTGTGTGGATACCCATCTCCGAAATCAACAGGCTGGATTCCGTGAGGATCGGTTGTGCACACACCAAATTGCGACACTAAGAATCATTGTTGAGCAATCAATTGAATGCAACTTGTCACTACACATCAACTTCATTGAATATGAGAAGGCGTTTGACAATGTGGATATGAGAACTTGGTGGAACTTTCTTCGACATTATGGTGTGCTTGAGAAGATCTTCATCATCATCGTCATCCGTAATTCATACGATGAGATACACTGCAAAGTCGTGCACATAGGACTGCTGACAGAGTGATTACTAGTGAGGACCGGAGTCAGACAAAGCTGTCTACACTCTCCCTTTCTATTTCTTCTGGTGGTTGACTGGATTATGAAGACCTCAACATCTGAGGAAAAACACGAAGTATAATGGACAGCTCAGAACCAATTAGAAGACTTGGTCTTCGCAGATGACCTAGCCCTCCTAGACCATACACACGAACAAATGCAGATGAAGACAACTAGTGTGGCAGCGGCCTCTGCATCAGTGAGCCTCGACACACACAAATGAAAGAGCGAAATCTTCGAATACAACACAGAGAACACTGACTCAGTCACACTTGGTGGAGAAACTCTGGAAGAGGTGGAATCTTTCACGTACATGGACAGAATCATTGATGAACATGGAGGATCATATGCGGACGTAAAGTCGAGGATTAGCAAAGCAAGGACCGCATTTCTACGACTGAAGAACATATAGAACTCAAAACAACTGTCAACCGATATCAAATTCAGAATCTTCAATACGAACGTCAAGACAGTTTCATTATACGGAGCTAAAAATTCGAAAACTATTGGAACCATAATCAAGAATGTACTAGTATTTATTAACAGTTGTTTACGCAAGAAACTCAATGTCCATTGACCGGAAACCATCAGCGACAATCTACTGTGTCAGTGAGTATACCAGCTTCCATCTGAATAGGAAATAAGTAAAAAACTTTAAAAGTGGATAGGACATAAATTGAGGAAGTCATTAAACTGCATCAAGAGACAAACTTTAACTTGGAACCTTGAGGGAAAACAATAAAAAAGAAGACCAAATAAAATATTGTCAAGAATTGGAAGCAGATATTGAAAGGATGAATAAAAACTGGGAACAACTGGAACGGATTTCCCAGGACAGTTTTTGACGGAGAATGCTAGTGGACAACCTATGCACCTCGAGGAAGGATAACAGGTATAAGGAAGTTAGTAAGTAATATGGAGTATTTAATCACATTTTTGAACATTAACCAGTAATAGTGTGGTGCGTGCTACTTATATTGATATAAGTAGTATATGACGCGAGTCCAGAATGTAATGTCTGGCAGCAGAATGTGGGGAAGATCAAGAAAGGAAGAACGGGAATAGAAAGTAACTAGTATGGAAATGCAAGAACAACGAAGTTTGAGACAATTATTGAACATTTTGCAAATTAAGTATTATAGTATGGTTTTTCTATTTTACCAAGTAACTCTGTAATGTTGTGCTAAATATAATTCAATCGTCCCCACTGGCGTTCTTGTTCACTACAATAGTATCCAGTATTCGAGGTTTTTTCTACATAAGACTTATGAGTTGAATGCATAGTGTTCATTATCTTAACTATGAACTATACGATAACATCAGATAACATACCTGTAAATCTTTTTTAAGTCGATATAATTCACCACAATTTAATGCATTTTCAACATTTTTACAAAAATGAATTGCTTCTGATAATATTAAAATTTGTTCAGGATATTTATTTGAATTAAATTTATATTGATGATGTTGATTATCCATTGAATATTTATCATTGAAACATTGAATTAATAATTCATTTAATGTTACTTTCATTTGATTGGTTAATTTTTCAAGGCAAATTTCAATTTCATTGGTTAATTGAACTGATTTTTGTAATTGGATAATTTCACCTTCAGATGAACATATTGCTATAATATTTGTTGATAATTTATTTGGATCCATTTTTAAATCTTCAGTATTTTCATTATGATCTTCTTGTTGTTGTTGATGAGGATGATGATGGTTTTTGAATTGTACTGAATGTATTCCTTGAAATAATTTCTTTAAATGTGTTTGTATAATATTTGGATTAGTTGATTGACCTAATATTTCTAATAAATCATCATCACCAAGAAAATAAAAACGTGGAAATCTACTACGTTTTTCTTCTAAATATTCATTTAATGCACGTTGACAACGAGTTAATTGTTCCTTAAAATATAAAATTTATGGTAATATGAATAAGAAATGAAATTCATAGAAGAAAAAATAGATTATAATTTTGATATTGAATGAAATCAATATTGAATCTTTATTGATCTTAGATATTTGGGCATAATATGGGATAGCAATTACTTCCGGTATCGTTTATAACAAGCTTACGTGGAAGTTAACTCTATTTTCGTTTGTTTTTTTTCATTTATTTCAAGAAACAAAATGTTAGGAGCGTTGAGGCTAGTCAAGAGACCGATATAATTATTATTTGGGATAATTAATTTGATTGACAGAACATTATATTAGAGAAATATGTTAATAGTCATTTCAAAACTGGAATAATGTGCTTAGCTAGCGGTAATAGACCTCTGCTATAAACAAATAAGTCTTAATATTTTGGATTGTTGAAGTTTTTATCACCCACAAAAAACATCACATACCTACTTACTTACTTACGCCTGTTACTCTCCGTGGAGGAGCATAGGCCGCCCACTAACACTCTCCATCCAACCCTGTCCTGAGCAATGCTTTCCAGATCTTTCCAGTTGTTATTTATACTTTTCATACCTGCCTTTATTTTCTGACGTAATGTGTTCATTGATCTTCCGCTTTTCCACTTCCTTTCAGGATTCGAAGTTATGGCTTGCTTCGTGATGCAGTTTGGTGATTTCTGTGATATATTTCCTATCCATTTCCATCGCATTTTTCTAAGTTTATCTTCAGCTGGAAGCTGGTTCTCTTCCATAATAGATTGTTGCTGATAGTTTCCGGCAAATGGATGTTGAGTATCTTGTGTAAACAATTATTTATAAGTACTTGTACTTTTTGATGATGGTTGTAGTAGTTCTCAGATGTTGAGGTCTTCATAATCCAGTCAACCAACAGAAGAAATAGTTAGGGTAGAGTAGGCAGTTTTGTATGACTTCCGTCCTCACTAGCAATGAGTCTGTCAGCAGTCCTATGTGAACGACTTTGTAGTGTATCCCATCGTATGAATTCCGGATGATGATGATGATGAGGATCTTCTGAGGCACACCATACTCTGGAAGAGAGTTCCACAAAGTTCTCATATCCACACTGTCAAAAGCCTTCTCATAGTCAATTAAGTTGATGTATAGTGACAAGTTCCATTCAATTGATTGCTCAACAATGATTCTTGGTGTTGCAATTTGGTGTGTGCACAATCGATCCTTACGGAATCCAGCCTGTTGATCTCGGAGATGGGTGTCCACTCAATTTTTCATCTGGTTCATCAACACTGTGTTGAAAACGTTATCTTGTACTGACAACAGTGTGATTAAAACATCACATACTATATATAGGGAGAAAACGTTTTCCACAATTTTCCCGACTATGGTCATTATGAACAATTGTATGAATCAACTCTTATCTATTCTACTCTATACTTACCTCATTCTGATTTATGTGTATTTCTGTTCTCATACTAAGTTACACTTCATTCTTTTCTAATTCTCATGTTACTCAACCAATCTTTATTATTTTGATAATTTAGACAATTGATATAGATCCAAAGTTAATTTTAATAGTTCAGATACACTCAATTTTCATTTTAACCTGAATTAAGAGCATAGTATTCTTCTAAATATTACATATCTCTAGTCTTGTTTGACAGTTTTGTGTAGCTTTTCACATCTTAGTTTCCCTCTTCCTCTTAATTTTCGATCACTATACTAATGATAAAAAAATGCCAAGCAATCTTGATCAGTACACATTGAGCAAGATTCTGTGTCGTTTCTGCATCTAACTCGAATACGTTTCCTTAAGAATTCAGAGTAATTTGTAGATTCTGGCTAACGCTTAGATGTTATTCTCTAATACTATTATACCGTTACCCACAACAAGTCCTTAAATCCAAAAAGTTCTGTATTATAATATACTGTATTTTTGATAGGAAATTCAAAAATAAATAATCCAGAAAGATTGAAGGATTTAACAAAGTATTGTAACATACCTGTAAATTATTTAATGTATCCTTCAAAGCTTTACCTTTCATACCATTAACTAAACTAATAACACGATTATCTACTTTCAAATAACCAATTAGTTTACGAAATTCTTCATCGATTTGTGCATATCGTGCAGTTTCTTTTGGCAATGCACCACGGCCCATGATTGGTTCTAAGTAAACCCATTTACGTTGTACTAATTGAAATCTAGTCAAACAATAATCCAAGTCAGTTAAACGTTGTACCCAAGCATTGGATCTATCCAAAAAATTATCTATATATGGAGAATCTTGTAATGAAGCCAATAGAGCCAGATTATCTCCAACCTTGGTGTGAACAGCACATTAAATAACAAGTTTAATTTCATGATATTATTATTACTATTAATGATAATTGTAATACAAATGTCACAAAAACTGGTGTTATGAGATATCCACTGGTTTTACATCTGTCATTAATATTTTCTTATTAAAGTGAAGAAAGTAATTAGATATTTTTCTTTTAAATATACATCACTGACTCTGGTTAAACAGTATTAAGGACTAGACAAAATTTGATACTGGTCACTATTAACTGATCATTCAATGTGAAATTTGACTTTCTGTACCTACTAACTCAGTGATTAGATACATTATACTTATAAAAGTTTTGGGTAATGAAAGAAAAAAGCTTTACTTCTATGTATGAGGCCGGAGAGTATCACATAAACTGTATACTTCAAGATAAGGTGTTGGAGATGTTAGGTTCCTAAAACTCATTTAGTAAATGCCTTATTTTTGTAATTCTGATATGACGGGAAGAAAAGTCAAAGTTCGATTGATTTACTCATTATGATCTTTGGGTTAACATTATTTCCGTTTTATTTCAGTGTTATGATTATTAAGTCTAGTATTCGGTTTTGTTTTCCTTTATGACATTTTATTCTGTATAACATACAATATTCTTTCATTCAGTTGACATGTACTATGCTCAGTATATGATTTGTTATAACTGTAAGTATTTTTCATATATGTGATTTCCTCCTAATTATAAATCAAAAATGGGTGCATGAATCAATATATAAATGAGTGCATCTTCGACTAGATTTGTCGTGGTTGTTCGTGGTTCTGGCTGCTTGTGGAATATATTTCCCTCTTCCAAAAATGAACTTCTCTCTAGTTCTCTGAGCTAAGATGCGTCATAATAGCTATCTTATTGGTCAGTGTGTCACAGAGTGTTCGGTCCGTTCACAGATTAGGTGAACTCGTAATCTCCTCAAACATAGCAGTAAGAGAAATATATTATTTGTTATTGACTTACATTAGATTATATTAAACAGTGAAAAAAGGGACCTAAATTCTATTGATGAATGTTATATATCACTATTACATACAGCTACATACTGGATTAAATGTACAATAAACATTTAAGTATGTATGTTCTTTAAACTAACCTGACTAACAATTTCTTTCCAATCTTTTACCAAGTACACAATTTGTCCAGAACTATCAATATATTCAGTTAGTGTGAATGTAGTACCAGAACCCCATAAATCTAATTCTTGTAAAGCTTCTCTAACAACAATTTCAGCTTGTGCACGTTGTGAAAGAGACTTTAGCTTATCAGATTGACTAATTATATTAGGTATAATTGGAAAGAAATCACCAAATAATAAATTTTCTAATTTTAATTCTTTCGATAATCCAATTAAACGAAATAATTCAAACCAATGATCTCTTGTTAGATGATCACCTTTTAACCATTTCAATACAGGTATAAGATCCTATAACCAAAATAAAATATTGTAGAGAAAAATTAAGATTTGAGCACAATTAACACTAAAAAAACAAACGCTTTTCAAGAAAAAAAAAGAACTGGGAAAAGTGTCAATGTCGCTTCACAAGCTGAACTCGTTGTTTGATGATCGTCATGTGTAAATGATTACTTTGTTTCTGAAAAAGAGTGATGTGTAACTACGTTAGGTCCGGATAAACATAATGAATGGTAACTTTGAGATGCTTTTATGGACCAATACAAAACGTATATTTTTATCGTATAATTTTTAAATAACTGGACTATTCATATTCATGTTCCTCTTATTATAAGCTTTATTTCGACCTATGAACCATTATTATACGTTTTACCATTCTTGAATTATGCCTTGTCTATTAGTCACTGCCTCCCACATTCACAGCCACATTTGGTCAAATTTTGTACAAATGTTATTTTCTATTTTATGCTACGTTGTGATCTGTTTGATTGGTATATAAACTCACTATGTTTGAAATATAAGGATTCATATTGCAGAGGCTGAGATTGGTGTTCTGGACTTAACCGACTGGGCTAGGCGGAAAGCAGGGCTAATCAGGACTCTAGGCTGCTCGCACGTGTTTTACGCGTCCTTGGTTCGATCGATAATTCGCTGCTTCTGATTAGCGGCATTAAGCTATAACAAAGTATTTAGTTCTCTGATGATTCTTGTCCATTTTAAAATAAATTATCATTAATAAATCAATTGAGCTAGATATTTATGAGGGTCTTAAGTATATACAATTTCAGGTAGGTCTTGAATCATGGCAAAATCTATGTTTAATATTCCATAACATTCAGTAGCTAACCAACTAATGTCAAATAATTATGAAAATCACATTATATATAGACATATACGTCTTATGTTATTCATGGTTAATCATAAACTTCACAATAATTACGTTATCCACTTCTTAAATTGTAATGATGTACACAGACTAGCAAGATTATTTAAAAATATCTTCTGTACAAATCCATTTGTTAAGTAAAAATTAAGATCATACATAAAGAGGAACTTATCACGGTAACATTTTATTCAATGTTCTCTACGTTGTGCTGAACTTTTCTAGTTCTAGATGCTAGCATAAACCTTCTAACTGAGCTGTGATCGTTCAACATTAAGAAGTTTATTTCTTAACTTGACAGTCCGACTATTCCAACTGTCTATCCTGAAAATGTTGGCCTATTCTTCAGTTTCAGTTTCTAAAAACCACGTTTATATCTAAGTATGATGCAATATCGTTGATGAACAACATTATCCATGTTTATATTCTTTTTGTAGACTCAGTTACCTTCCAGGGATTAAACGTATTATAAAATCTCTCGTCTTACTACAGCTCCGATTAGTAACAATGACTACGGTTTAATACTAAACACTGAAGTGTGTGAAATATTGAGATGAACTCTAGTTAATAAACTGTTTAATATACCTTCCATGGAAAAGATTTAATATTTATCCTTCTATAAAGAATATATCGTTGCGGCTATGAAACTTTCTTGGCGTATCTGACTTTGTTTATAATATATATTAATTTTTAATAACATTCAGTTTACTTGATTTATGACTATCACAGATTATATTTTATCAAGAATTACTGTATTCTATGATAACCATCAATAACTATAAATTTTATTTAGATCAACAAACTCAAGGTAAAAGACTACTGAAAACCAAGAAATACTTCACAGCTCTTCCATCCTAGTCACTTGTGTGTACCCATGACTCCTATGAAAATCACAATTGGGACATCTCATAGCGAAAGCTTCATTTTTAAAGCATCAATCTGGCATCTAATGGTTTATATAACTTACTTAGGTTTGTTTGTAATCATAAAAAGATTTTACAATCTCCACAAACCCCCATACTAATGATTCTACATTGACTCGCACATTTTGCAATTCGTTAGTAGGAAGCTCAATCACAGAATGTCAGACAAAATATTAATTCACTTATTTATTTGAACACATAAATATTAGTACAAAAGGGCACGGAATACATATGCGCCACACACGTCACTTGGTTTGTCGGTGGGCTATGAAACTACATAGGTGCCTAGACCTAAGCAGATGGTTTTCTTAGGGAGCCACAACCGGAGCCTTAGACCTAAAGGTCTGATCCACAAGACAGTGGAGAAACGTCAGCAGATGCAGTCCCATGGAGCTCATGTGAACCATTGGTTTGGAATCAGGGTTTTCCAACCCCCCTCCCGAGTAAACCGTCGGACACTCGCTTTCCGTTCCCTCAATTCCGTAAACAACGCCCCAGCCACAAGAAGGCAGTGAGTAAGACTTCCCTTGCAGTGGTCGTGTGCACGTGGCCATGTGAGAGCGTTTGGAGAGGGGGAGCTGACTCTCCCCACTTTCGGCCGTACCAGGGCATATGTCATACCTCTATCACTTTTAAATGTTATCTCTGCTTTTGTATCAACGTAATCTTAACGATATACTGATGTATATTTTATAATTTGTTTTCAGAATATAATAGGGTGAACCCATAGAATTTAATGTCTGAATTAAAGATTAAATAATCAAATATGGGATTATTATCAGTTCTAGTAAATTTTACCATAAATCCATCAATTTCTTTTTGTAATCGAACAGTCATTGGAGTTGGTTGTAAAGAACGAAGTTTATTAGACCATTCTGTTAGAAATTCTTCAAATACATAATAACGTGATCTTGATAAAGAAATAAGAAAACAAAATATCCATTAACTAATATTATAAGAAGAAAGAAAAACATATACTGAACACAACTGTGAATAATCCAATCTAAACATATGATATTGATACTTATAAAAGATATTTAGTAAGTAAGTTATACTTGTACATACTAGTGGAGTTTCTATGTGACAGGTTCTTCTTAATAGTGAACACATTTAGAATATAATTCGTTAATTAAGTAACAGTTTGGAAATGCCAAAATAACGCAGCAGTTAAAAATATATATTAAACAATTAAAGTTGCAGATGAATCTTCTTAGAGTTCTGTCGTGTCTTCTCGTCGTTTCGACATCGAGAAAGTGTATATTCTGTTTGCTTTTAACTTCAAGTGTGAAACTTATTGCTGAATGGCAGTTATTAACCTTCTCATGTAGAGCCAGGTATATAGGTCATTCGATGTATACTTCATTCGAAAGAATTCAAGAATATTACCCAGCTTGGCTAAAAAGAGGAGGAAACAGCACAATAAAAACCCCAATAATCAAACACATTGAGAACACAGCTCATTCGATCAAAGCGGACTCCGCATTCAAAGTCATTTACGAAGTAAGTAGAAGGCTACCAAAGGCAGTTATAATGCATCTTCTCAACATTGCAGTAGCAAAAACTATACATTTGTATAAACCAGAATTATGTGTCCAAAAGAAATTGGTGCAACGTCTTCTCCCACCATGGCATTCCTTTATAGCCATCTGCTTCCTCTTCCATTTCTATAGAAATTCTACCCCCAACTGGTTTATTTCTGTTTCTATGATCTTCCTGATTACATTTCATCTCAATTTCAACATTTTATCTTATCATGCTGAGCCATCCTTTCACAATTATAATTTCCTCATCCATCTTTATGATGAGTATTCGAAGTTCTAAAAATAAAGCTATTATTAGTTCCCCTGATGAAAAAATAATATCCAAATACGTAAGTAAAAATGAATGGTGGCTAGCAATGGAATCCAGGACGAGCGTTTCATCCCATTTGAGACTCGTCAGCTGGATGTGCCTGCATCCGAGTTGATGATTACTCAAGAACTCGAACCATATACCGTTTGTTTCAAACGCTATTGCGTTATCCACTTAGCTACTGAATCCAGATAGCCACCAGCTTGTGCAATGGGAAGATTTAAACAAACAATACAAAAATGAATGTTTTAATACCCTTGTTGATTGTATCTCATTGTCACCATGTTTAACAAAATTTTATTATCACTATTATTGTAATTATTACCATCCTGCATAATAAGTATATATGTTGTGCATGCTACTAATATTAACGTATATAAGTGGTATGTAACACCATTTAGAAATGGAATGCTTGTCGAAAGAGGATTAAGATTGAACTGAAAAGAACAGAAATGGAAACAGAAAGAAATCAGAATAAAAACAGAATTAGAAGAATCAAGTAGTGTAAATGACAACTAATGGAAGATGTACAAATGAAGTAAATAATGTATGATTTTCATAATTTATTAAGATGTACTGTAGTTTTGCACTAAATGATAATATAGTTTGCGTCACCGAGTCTACGTTCACTACATATTTATTTATGATTGTACAACTTTGATGATGTAATTCGCTGAAAAGGAAACTTTTGGCTGAACCAATTTTTTCTTATTTAATGTTTCAATGGTTGTATTCAGTTTAATCATTGTAAACCTGAAAAAATTAATCGAGGTTATTTCATTCTTTAATTTACATTCATTATGTTGTTGGGGATTCAAATTCAGGTCTTTAAGCATTGATCTAAGTGTTTAAAAATTCAATCCCTCACATGTTTGCGAATATTAGTTATTCTCTTAAATGATACTTTAGTGAACAAGAACACCAGTGAGGACAATCGAATATATCTGTTACATAATTAAAGGACTTGTTAATAAAATCTGACAATCATAAAGTAAATGCTCAATTTGCAAAATGTCCATCAATTGTATCAAAATGACTCAGACTTCATTGTTCTTGCATTTTCATACAAATTGCATTCTGTTTCCATTCTTTATTGTTCGATCCTATTGTGTCTCTGCTGCCAGACCTTCTGTTCACGACTAACATCATATACTACTTGTGTGAATAAAAGTAGCACACACCACAATGCTATAATCCAAGAACTAGAATTTTTGCTTTACTGAATTTTTCTACATTCTTATATAACATTTATTGGTAAAAATACGCCAAAGATAAACCTGAAGTCTCATAGACATAATAAATGGAATTGTAATTGAACAGAAATTTCTAACAATAACAATCATTTATTTGCAGTTTTATAGTTAATATGAATATTTCAGTTAAGTAGTCATTTGTCAACTTAGGTTTCGTGGTTCTTGACACTTGTCCATAAGTTGTATCTGTTTGACGAATGGACCAAGTAATATAACATGAGTTACTTGTTATGTCCTTATGCCGGATTAATTATATCACGTGATACGACCACCAATTAGAGACACCGACTTATACGACTAGGCCCCCAAATGGCCTGGTACGGCCGGGAGTGGGGAGAGTCAGCTCTCCCTCTCCAAATGCTCCCACATGGCTACGTGCATACAACCACTGTCAGGGAAGCCGTACTCATCGCCTTCTCGTGGCGGTGTTTTTTAAGAAATACATAGAACGAAATACGAATATCCGACGCTTTAACTGGGTTGGTAGACAGAGTCTACCTAGGGGAGTTGGGAAACCCTGATTCAAAGCCAATGGTTCACATGGGCTCCAGTATCCTGAAGCAACAAGTGGTGTGTGAACCTGTTGGTGGTCACCGGCTACCATAGGACTGCATCTGCTGACGTTGCTCTACTGCCTTGTGGGTCAGACCTTTAGGTCTAAGGTGGCGGTTGTGGCTCCCTAAAAAAACCACCTGCTTCGGTCTTGGAACTCGGACATTATCCCAGCCGTCACACAAATCGAATGATTTATGTGGCGCATATCTATTTGGTGCCTCCTTGTACCAATGTTTGTGTTTAAATAAATAAATAAATAAATAAAACGACCAGATAAATGACGCATAATACTATACGAGCAGCCTAGAGTTCTTATTGGTCCCCCAAAATATTCGCTTCTCTCCTAACCCAGCCGGTTTAGTTCAGAATACTAATACGAGCCTCCGAGATACGAATCATATATTTCAGACATACTGGGTTTGTATACAAACAAACCAGACATTATCGTACTATAAAATAGAAAATAATAGCGCTGTGAGTGTGAGAGACTGTAAATATTAAACTGGAAATATCTTAAGAATAGTAAATCGTATAATAATAGTCAAAAGGTCAAATAAAGGCTCAGAATAAAAGGAATATGAATATACATATGATATAGTTACTTAATAGTTATACAGTAAAAATATGTATATTAGTAATAGTTCATAAACAGATCCTAGCGGTTACTACTCACTTATTCTTTGTTCGGTCATAATATTACTAACAACCGGTGTTTACTTACATAGTTATCGGAAATTTGAAATAATATACACATATACATGATTAAGATTGAAAAAAGCCGTCTTGATTTATTGAATCACTTCTTGCAGATATTAATACAAAGCTTGGTTGAAGCATGTTTCTGATGAGAAACGATTGAAATAATTTGTTGTTACCGTCATCAGGTGTATAAGTTATAACATTTGAGGAATAATTATCTGTTCTTATACCTACCCTCTTCCTAGCTACGAAATAAACAAAGTCAATTCATTCATGGTTGAAATGCTTTGTCTATGAATTTCATAAAGGAAACTACATTTTACAAACAAGTGTTCTCTGTCTATAGAAAATACATAGTGTTAAACCTTTTTCTAATTTTCATACCTGGTTGGGATCCGCGAGACGATAGCAACCGATGGTTGGAGACCTTGAATGACATGACTCAAAATCATTTGCAATGTCACAGGTTCATCCATTCTTTGTGTTCTCCCAAATTCTAATCTTTTGAATTTTTCATGTTTTTTTCCCTTTCCAAATTTATTTCACTGGATTATATTCCTTGCATAACATCTTCAAACTCTAATCTTTCCGATTACTGCTTATACTTTTACTACATCTACCACTATGGGGTTTGAATCGACAATTGTATCATTGTGCTAATGTGGTATTGCAACTTGAACTGATTTACGTACGTACGTACGAAGTTCTACGTTGTTACTGACTGACTGACTGACTGAGAAATGAGCAGTTATCATACTATTAGATTCTGACCTGTAAAAATTTCACCTGATAACTCAACCAATAGTTTTATCCATGTTCTGTAAATGCGCAACAAAATCCATCATAATAATTCGTAAGTTGTTTTTCCCGTTTATACTCTTACATTGTAATTGTTGGAGTTATTTGTGAAATTTAACATCTTTGATATTACTTACTTCTGGTTAGTAGTAAATTGAACTGATTTTTATATTCGATGTATTTATTGTGCTGGAAGAACGAATTCTTTTAAAGGTAACTATAAAGTACCATAAACAGAGATGGATCAATTGACTGATCAATCTCAATCTTAAACATCAATCGAAAGATTCATACAAACAATATCAAATGAACTATGAAGTTTTGTTCAATATTCAATTAACTCACTTAAATGATATCCAATCTTCTTTGGCATAGTTTTGAAGTTCCTTAGAAAAATTATCATATTCTAACCACATAAGTGAATAATCATTTAAATCATTGGCTAATTCACTAACCAATGAAAATTCTGGTTTAGGCATATCAAAATACTCATAATCACGTCTGTATAGGAAAAGAGTGAAACAATACATTAAACCAATATAAAATGAACATATGTGATAAGAAGGATAGTCAAAAGTTTGGTAATCAAACAAAATTTAAGACTAAATTTGCTGTTTACATTAAGAACTAATCTTAGCAAAGATGACCATTGAAAACCAAGAAGTATTGGATGGCTGTTGCATTCTAGTATGGAACTCCACATAAGTATGCATCTACAACCCTAAGGAGGATTTAGTCCAGGTCTTTTAGGTTTCATAAAGAGCTCTCAACTTATGTATGAACAATTACATCTACTTGTTTTTCATTCTCTCAAATGAATGTCTACTCAAATATATGTAAATGAATAATTTTGAGGGTTAATCTTCATCATGAGAATATAATAGTTGCAAAATCTTAGTTTAGTGCCAGTTAACAATACTCTCTCACAATCTCATTAGAGTACGAAATTCGTGCCTTTAATTCTTGTGGTAAGCCAGTTACTTTTAGACCATTATTTTTAGTACCAGTTACTTGCTGACAGTTGCTACATAGCTCTGTGTGTATATTTCATGATAACTGGCAGTTATTCGTGATTATGTCATTCAACATAATCGACAGAGGAGTTAAATTTGATAAACTGGTAACTGTAGCTAATAAAAAGAGATATCTGTTGAAGCAGAACATATACCAACAGTGAACAATGTAAATCAGTCTTGGATATCGTAAACAGTAAACTACGGACCTTTATAATTTAGGATAGATATCATACCCGTTGACGAAGTTGGTGTCTATATTTGTTCGGCATCCTAGTATAAAGTGAACCCTTGTTTAACTATCTAAGTTTTAAGCATGCGTCCGAGTGTGGACATTAAGATCTGAATGCAGATACATTCAGCTGATGGGCCCTAAATAAGACAAAATCAATATCCTAAATTCCACACTGAGCTACATTTTAAATATGCTGAAGAGACGACGTTAGAAACTAACGAAATTACTATGAAAGAAATGAGATGTAGAAAATGGTGAGATCCATAAAGTGCAATTCGTCTCACTTAAAACTCGTCAGCCGAATGTACATGACTTTCATATCAAGAAAATTCTCACAGGATGTACATTTACTAACTAAAGCTGATCGAAATCCAATGAATAAAATTTAAAATCATTACAAATTAAAGTGTAAACTTTATTTTTTCATTTACATTAACTTTTGACGTATCAATTCAAATTCACGAAATTCAGTTTCATATTCTTTGATCATTGTTACAGCAGATAGACATAATTCATTATTATTACTATTAGAATCTAATACATTTTTGCCTGGTTTAAGTTGATTCCAACGATTTTTAAAACGTTCCAAATTATTAAAATAAACATTTGTTTCATTGATAACATTTAACTTTAAAATCTAAAACAAAAATAGTAGTATAATCAAATTGGAAAGATAAAATATTGTGAGTTTGATACAAATTAAACGTTTCTAATACAATTCTTTTTAAAGCGTTGTATTCTATGGTTTAATTGTAGAACTCTTATTGTTATTTTGCATAGTATTATCAAACCAATCCAATCAAATCCAATCACAAATGATGGAGAAGATTTGGAAGATGTAAAAATCTCTACATATTTAGGCAGCATCATTGATGAACACGGTGGATCTGATGCAGATGTGAAGGCGCGGATCGGCAAAGCAAGAACAGCATATTTACAATTGAAGAACATTTAGAACTCAAAGCAACTGTCAACCAACACCAAGGTCAGGATTTTTAATACAAATGTCAAGGCGGTTCTACTATATGGGGCGAAAACTTGGTGAACTACGAAAGCCATCATCCAGAAGATACAGGTGTTTATTAACAGTTGTCTATGCAAAATACTTCGGATCCGTTGGCCGTACACTATTAGCAACAACCTACTGTGGGAGAGAACAAACCAGATTCCAGCGGAGGAAGAAATCAGGAACAAGCGCTCAAAGTGGATAGAACACACATTGAGGAAAGCACCCAAATGCGTCACAAGACAAGCCCTCAAGTGGAATCCTGAAGGCCAAATGAAAAGAGAAAGACCAAAGAACACAATACGCCGCGAAATGGAGATAGACATGGGAAAAATGAACAAGAATTGGATGGAGGTAGAAAAGAAGGCCCAGGACAGAGTGGGTTGGAGAATGCTGGTCAGTGGCTTATGCTCTATTAGGAGTAACAGGCGTAAGTATGTAATTATCAAACCCTACTTCACATGAAAGTGAGATTTTGCAGTTATTCTGCAAATATTACAATAGTTAATTCTGATGTCTTCATTTGTAATTGGTGGTAGGCATAGATTTTGTTGTTCTCATTTGTTTTTATATTCATCCTAGCTGTTTATTAGACTGCTGTCTGATCTCCTTCGTATGTGTTGATACTTCGGATGTATCTCGATGTGTAGAGACTTATTCTATTTCATTGTGATTATTGACTCATATTGCCTTGATTGGTTTAAAATTTTCGTATAAATATTCATGTATATTAGAGTAAAGCCTGATGACGATCTAATTGAAAACAATTGTTCGCTTATATGTGTTGTTCTAATTTTCACAAGGGTATCTCGATGTGTTTATTGATTGCCAGTTGATTTGAAAGTCTGGATTCTAGGAATTCCCTGTTGTTTTTTAGTTTTTCCTACCAATCGCATGTTTGTAGTTGTCCCCATGTATTGATATTAGTGATAGCATATCATACCGTCTTACTGTGAATCCATGTTTATGTATACTTAGACAAATGACAATATTTTATTCGTCTAATTTTGTTAATTTGTTTTTCGGTTTGCGCAGTATTGGATATCAGAAAGACCTGATAGAATGCTTACGAAATAACTGGAAAACCTATTTCTATTCCCAGTAGGCTCTGATAGTATTGTCCAAAACAACAATGAAAATTGTGCATTTAAATTACTTATCTCAAAAAACACAACATTACTGAATGAATCCACTTGAGCTGAAAATGTTCGCCATCATTATATAAAATTTTAACCAAATAAAACGAAAAATTATCTTTCAATATAAGACAGACTACTAGTTGATACAGTTCAGTTGTAACGAAGGTGGATTTCATAACTGATAGACAGGTTTTAGTTTGAAACAAATGAATATAATGCTGATCCATACATGAATGCAATGATACGATATAGTCAAGTGCTGGCTGTCCACGGGAACCCATTACTGATCAAAACAATAAAATGATTTAAAATAAAAAAACAAGACCACTAACCTGAAGAGTAGGTTAACTGCTTAGTGAAAAAACGAGCTTTTACACACAAATGATTAGCTGGGAACTATACATGATTTTGATGGAGATTTCTTGTCTGTGCTGGATGGACTAAATGTCATAATAGACCGGAGAAAACCACTCATTTTCAATTCATTAACATCATACTTTTAAATTCAATACCTGACCATTGTTATGGATGTTAGATCACCAGAACTCACTTGGTAAATGTCTTTTTTTGTAATTCTATTTAAAAATTTGAACTTCTTGTTTTCGCGCCAAAAGCGATTCTTACACCTCATGAGAGAAACTTAAGTGCTATTGGTTCGTTATCTCTTTTAGTATGATATTTTGTACCGTTTTCCAAGGACATTTTTATGCTGTATATATATACGCTAGCGTTGTGCTTCTTGTAGTTGTTTATGCTTCTGGTTGCTTATAAAATATAATTCCCTCTCTCTAGTCAGCATAACTGAGACGCATCGCATTAGCTGGCTTATTGCTCATTGTGTCACAGAGTCTTCGTTCCGTTCACAGACTAGGTGAACTCGTAATCTCAGTATATCTTACGTTTTCATATCGATTCATTACAATGCAATGGAACTCTAAACTATTGCCTCTCTTTAATGGATTAGATTTCAACATCTTAACATGAGTTTCTTTCATTCAGTAAACAACCACCACATTCCAACATAAATCCCAACATCACACACATTTTAGATACAACTAAAGCTTTAAATGATATTGCCACTTCGTCACATATTCACCTTAATTGTAGGGGTATGGTGAAGATTAGTTTGATTTGTATAATGTCTTCGTTAGAGACTAATCTCAGTTAGAGTACTATCAAGAATCAGAGAGCAGAAGAAATCTGTTCTCCCTTAGTATACAGCTCAATCATCAGCACCCGATTATGTTTGTACAGATCACTAGTTCATCTAATTTGTGAACTTAACGAACACTGTGTGACACACCAATAGATAAGTTAACTAGTCTGACGCCTCCCAGCTCATCTAATTAGAGAGAGAAGTTCAAGTTCGGAAGAGGAGAATATATTCCACAAGTATCTAGAAGTACGAACAACCACCACAAGTCTAGTCGAAGATGCACTTATTTTAAGATGTTGAAATCTAGTCCATTAAAGAAAGACAATAGTTTAGAGTTCGATTGCATTTTCATAAATAAACTTTCAAGTTAGTGATTAGATGGTGGTTGGAGGTAGTCGACAGGAAACCCTGGACCCGGGTTTCATGCTACTTGGCACTCGTCAGCAAGGTGTACCTGCAATCTTGAGGGAACTGGTGCTCCCTGACAGATTCGATCCCGTGTTACCTGGCTTCACAGTCAGAGACGTTGACACTGGGCTATCCGGGTCGAGGGTATCCTGTTGACAACTTTTAACCACCATCTAATCTCAACATAGTGCACGCAATGTTGAGTCACCTAGACTAGTGACCACATTGCAACTTGGTCGATGGCATTCGATCTGTACTAATCAGGACTTGACACACATGACATTGATCATCACCTAGTGATCAATTAATTGTGATTACAAGTTAGTTATGTATACCAAGAACTCAATTCTAAATCGTACTTTAAAATTATATATTTTACAAGGAATATACTTAAATGCATCCTGTTTGTAATTATTTGTGTATATTTCCGTTGTTATTTTGAAGAACTACAGTTGATTAGTCTTTATTTACGTATATGCATCCTGAGACTGACTAAATATTCCTTCTTGATCAAAAATCATTATTACAATTGCATAGTGCATGGTATTGGGATCCAGGATGCTTGTTTCTTCTCATTCGAAATGTATTTTCATTCCAGTGTTGATGCTTACGCTAAGACTCGAACAAAGCACCTTTTACTTGAAACATTGATGCGTTGTTCACTGAGCTACTTATTCTAGATAACCACATATTCTACCTGGTTAAAATACTGTAAACTATTCATAGTGTTTATAAATTACGTGTTAAGTTAGACCTACTTCTAATTGTTCATTCATCATAAATTGGAAACTTTCCATCATTGCATTGAATTTTTCCCATTTCGTTTTTACTGCAGCTATAGTTGTAACACCATTACCGGATACTGTACAAAGTAGTTGATTTTTTCTTTCAGCACATTGAATTTGATCATTTAAATGATTGACTGTTTTACTGTACTCATTGTATTGTGATTTAGCTGCAATCAATTCATCAATTGTTTGAGGTCGGCTGGAAAGCTTTTCTAACGAATCTGTGAAAGTAAAGAAAAGTAGAATCAAAATTTATGATTACTATTATTATTATTAATCGCCTTTGTGAGTATCGTACGTTTAGTTACAGTACAAAACTCTCAGAACGAAGCATGGATTATTTTAGAGAATTTGCTTGTTATATCCATTCAGCATATCTATATATATGAGGCTTTTTAACAGTAGTCAGATGTTATTCGTCTCCATTCATATAAATGTTTGACCAGTTTTACTCTAATATTTCTGATGCATGAATCCAATAAAATTGACCGTAGTTTCTTCAAACGTTAGAAAAGAAAATACCCTGACCAACGTAAGTGTTCCGATTATGATAAAAAGCACATGAATACATGTGGTTAAGGTATACAGTTAAATAGATAAAATAAATCCAATACAAGAAAATTTCATGATGGTATTCGTACAAATTCACTTGATATTGTTTACTTGAATCTTCTCATTGATATTTAGGACTGCAATTGATCGGTCTCTTATTGGCATATGTGCATACTGTGCGTATTGCCTCGATATTGACTTCATTCACAAACATTGTAAGCAAAGATGGACAGTGGTTAGCAGTGGAATCCAGGACGCGCGTTTCGTCCCATTTGGGACCCGTCAGATGGATGTACCTGCATCTCAGAGTTGATGTTCACTCTGGAACTCGAACTCAGTACCGTTCGCTTCAAACACCATCGCGTTATCCACTTACCAGCGTATATGTGTGCACTTCTTATCCTATTCATCACGTCTGTAACCTATTTTTATCGGGCTACAAATATTGATTAACGCTTGATTAAATGGAATTAGCTCACACGCCTCCTCCCTTGCTTGTCATTTCGCTTCACCCTCCTGATTTTCTGTTCAGATCATTGAGTGTACAAAATATATATATATATATTCAGAAATCCATTTTCGTATTTGACTTATTTAATTACGTTATTCACTAACGTGAATTAAGTCGATTATATACGAGGATAGCCAAGTTGTATATTTCGATAACAATCACTCGTACTATCTAACAGGAGTCAAAACCCCGGCTACCAAAAATGGTGAGCCCGACTTGATATCGGGCCATTTCGAATCAAGCGTTAATCAATATTTACATCCAGATAAAAATAGGTTAAAGACATGTGACGAGTAGAATAAGAAGTGTGCGCACATACGCCTATATAAACACAGTCAAGGTTGATAAAATGAATAATTAGCAAGGTCAAAATATGACTCAAGAATGGGTAAATTGGCGTGTCCAGAAGCTAGAATAATTTATGTGGGCTTAACATAGTAACCAACACTACACATTTCTTATTTCGTACGTTCTCATCAGCTGCTTACAACCTTATTCACACTGAAATATAACATATCAATTATGGTAACTGAAGAATTGTAGCAACAAAGACTATCAGCAGAATAAATAATATCTCCATATATATGTGTAAGGTCATTTGAAAATAGATATAAGATATATAAACGGACTATAACAATAATTATCTAGATTTCGAAAATTTATATGATGAACTGCGTAATATATACAAAAGATTTAAAGAATTAACATACGTTTTTTTAAAAACTCAAGAGGTGATAATCAAGAAGCAGTGGAAGTAGATGAGATGACCGATTGCTCATTAAGGATCAAGCAATATATTACAAACAGTAAAACCAATAACAATAGTAGTACTAATAACTACTAAAAATAACTGTAGGGATGAGACTATAATTTATGGACGACCTTTGAGCGACGCTAAATAGACCTCGAGAATGTCCACCTACATATTACGGCTAAATGAGGCTTGTAAACCAGCGTACGGAATTAAGAAGAATATTTACAGTTGATAGTTGGGGTTAGGAATTATATATAAGGTTTTCATCACAAACAGACATCAGCTATAATGCCGAAACTCTACTTCGCCAAATGAATGAATCAATTTCGCACCAAAATTCAAGACCTGTTATCGTAAATCTGATTGGTTCTTCCATAAATTATAGTCCAACGGATTTTGTCCAATTTTCCTGATATATATATTAGGAAACTTAAACTTGTAGTATATATAGTGCTCTGATGAAGTATGACCTAGTTTGCCTGTCAATTATTTTAAAAGATTCAAGAAAGTTGACAATATGGCCTCTATCGATTAAGTGTTAGTCGATTGAGTTGACTAGACTTATGGCATATTTTAATCTCAAATTCTTTGAAAAGTCCTCGATAATTGAATTGTAAATAGCTAATGTGAATGAATTTATATTATTCAGCTTCAACTATTGTTCATCCTTTATTTGAATTCGGGAACAAATGGATTTAACTGTACACCAAAAACAAAATTACTTCAACTAACCTGTTAAAAATCCATCTGCAGCTACTAAATCAACATGAATTGATCTACGTAGACAATTTTGTAATGTGTCGAATAAATTCTGAAGTAAACTGTCAATAGCTATTTTAACTGGTAAACAATTCACTATAATACAATCAATACGTATTTCATTTGGCAATTTTTCTATATCACGACTACGTATTTTCAGAGCCTTTAAGAAATAGAATTAGATAGATGAAAAGTTATAACAATTAAAGCAAACATGAACATTAGAGTAAATATTTTCAAAATTACCATGAGAATATATCCGTAGGTTGAATTCATTACAGAGTGATTGTATTTAGGGTACAATTGAAAACTAGGGTTTACTAGATAGTTGTTTCATCCTAGTATATGATAATTCTGTAACATTGACACATCATCTTCAGATTTTGTTAGCTTACTAGTGATTTATTTCATCATGTACTTTAAATTCCATTAACAATTCGTGATATTCAGGTATATTAGGACTGATATAATTGTCAAACATCGCATTGTATAATCGTTGTGCTGTATTATAAATTGATTGAAGTTGAAATTGCACTATTGGAGGATAATCTATTGGTCGTAATGATGAGTGGTTGACTGTAAGGCCTGAAACTCAACAGTTTTATCTCCCCTGGGGCTGTGGGTATAACATGCGATATTCTTGGATTTAATTGACATGAAATATACTCAGCATATAATTTTTGTAACTGTAAGTATTTTTCATAAATGTGATTTCATCCTAATTATTAATCAAAAACGAGTGTATTTCCGACTAGACTTGTGGTGGTTGTTCGTACTTCTAGATACTTGTGGAATATATTTCCCTATTCCGAACTCGAACTTCTCTCTCTAATTAGATGAGTTGGGAGGCGTCAGAATAGTTAACTTATCTATTGGTGTGTCACACAGTGTTCGTTGCGTTCACAAATTAGATGAACTCGTGATCTCTACAAACATAATATGGTGCTGATGATTCAGCTGTATACTAAGGGAGAACAGATTTCTTCTGCTTTCTGATTCTTGATAGTACTCTTACTGAAATTAGTCTGTAACGAAGACATTATACAAATCAAACTAATCTTCACCATACCCCTACAATTAAGGTGAATATGTGACGAAGTGGTTATATCATTTGAAGCTTTAGTTGTATATAAAATGTATGTGATGTTGGGATTTATGTTGGAATGTGGTGGTTGTTTACTGAATGAAAGAAACTCATGGAATGATGTTGAAATCCAATCCATTAAAGAAAGACAATAGTTTAGAGTTCCATTGCATTGTAATGAATCTATATGAAAACGTAAGGTATTCTGAGAATGTAGTCTAAGACATTTGGAAATTAGAAAAATATGTCATCTTAAACATAGGCCCACAATTATTGACACCCTCTTGTATTTGAGATATTAACTGACCTCTCTTTATAATCTTAACTGAAATACAATGGATGCACTAAATACTTAAAATTAGTCTTCACGATTGTTTCAATGTGGAACTACTATTTAAAAACATTCAATCGACAAATCATTTATTTGCTAATACGAGACATCCTTTAAATATATTGAAGAACTTAGATTTCTTTCCACGTTTCGTAGATGCAATTGACTGAGGATGACCGGTTGATTTCTTAACAAAGTATCTGATACATTGGAGAAATCATGAAACTGCATCACGAGGCAAGCTCTAACTCTGAGTTTTGAAAGAAAAAACAAAAGGAACAGACTAAAGAATAAGTTATGCCAGTAATTAGAGGCAGACATCAAACGAATGAATGGCACTCGAAAGCCGCTGGAAATTAGAGCCCAGAACAAATTTGATCGGGTAATCCTGGTAAGTGTTACTATGCTCCACGAAGGGTCATAGGTACTAATAGGTAAGTATCAACAACGGAAAATATAATACATCATAAATATAAAACAAATAGAACACCAAAAGAAATTTACTGACCTTGAAATTCCTTTCATAATCATCCAAATCACGACAATGTAAATCCACAAAATCGTCTAAATTTAAACTACCTAATATAACCCATTCTTGAAATTGTTCTAAACTACCAAATAGTCGAGTAAATAAGAATTCAGCTTTTTTATAGCATATACGTAAGCCACTTTCTTGATTATCAATTATACATGAGAATATATGTTTATTCATATTAGATATGGAAGTAGTAGTCATACGATCTGTACTATTATTATTACTGTAATTATCACCAACAGATGGAATAAATTCATTAAATCCACGAAAATTGTTCGGAATACAAATGAACTTTTTTAATTCACGATAGTATTTAGCTTTTATCTAGATATTTTAATCAAAAAAGAATTTAAACGGAAAGACTTATTCTGTATGGAGATCTAATAAAGATTTAAGTCGAATAATATATGAATTAGTCTTGTTTTGCTAAACTCTCTCTCTCTCGCTCTCTATCATCAGCTGTAAACATCTAGTGAGTTCATGTCATTCTATTCAAATCTTTGTTCCTGATCTCTTCATACTAATGTAGGGAGCTATCTGGGTTTGAGTCCCAGAGTGAACATCAACTCTGAGATGCAGGTACATCCATCTGACGAGTCCCGAATAGGACGAAACGCGCGTCCTGGATTCCACTGCTAGCCACTATCCATCGTTGCTTACAATAAGCTTGTGAATTGAGGCAATATCGAGGCATAAGCACAGTATGTACATATGCCGATCAATTGCAGTCTTAAACCTCAATGGGAAGATACAAGCCGAATAATACCAAGTGAATGAAATATTTTGTTTATTTTGAAAAAGATCAGTTAGATAGCTATAAAATGGTTTCATTTCTTGTTGATTGAGAAGTCATTGAAGGACATTTTAAAACTATAAATTACTGTACTGTTTTATCTGTACTAGTTTAGAACACTTCAACAGTGCTCATATACCTAGAGTTTGAACCCCAGGAAATTGATGTTTTGAGGTAAGTTACCTTCAAGGAATATGATGTTGGTATAAGTATTCCTAACTTTAACTAATTTGTGATATACTGGGACAGCATCCAACTATGCTGATGTATGAGTGTTTTATTCTCAACATGATTAAACTTCATCAGACATGACTTGTTAGAAATTTCCTGGTTAGTCGTCAATACGGTTGGACATAACACTTATTAATAGTAATGTGTAATGATTTGACTGGCAATATCCAACCACCGGTAATTCTAATGAACGTAGGTAAAACATTTTGTTTATAATTACCTTTGAATCAGTTTAGAACTAAAGTTCACTTCTCTATAAAAATTAGTCATTGAGTAGTTAAAATATTATTCAGTTACCTATTCTTCGATTTTAATTTTTTCAATCAAACTGATAATATTCTACCTGATATGTATCTGTACCAATGCCTTTAGTTAAATGTGAAAAGTCAAACTTATTTTCAGGAGAGGAAGGCGATATGACCGAGTCAAGAGGGCAGGATTAACTCAGTGTGCAAATCAATCGATATATCATTAATATTGTGGTGTGAATTATAAATAGTATATAGCAGGAATCGGAAGTAGAATGCCTACCAGTAGAAGATTGAAATAAAGAGGAAACGAAAGAAAACAGAGAGCAACTGGGATAACAATAGAATCGGAAGAATGATGGAGTATGTAAAGGACAACTGATGGAAGATATGCAAATGATGTATTTAATGTATGATTTTTATATTTTATGAAGGTACTGCTTACGTTTGCATGAAAACATTAAATTGGTTTTCCCCATCGAGTCTTTATTCGTGTAGTAAGTTATTGATGAACTTTTTTAAAGTATTACTCAGTTCAATTTATTCAGATCTGAATATTACCCTGACTGTAAGTAGACCATATAAAAAGTGGAGTAATCAGATATTTATTTTGGGTGTCAAGTAAATCGTAATCACCAGTTTTTTTTTGTTCTCATTACGCGTCATAAGATTCAGGGTTTCAGTATTAAGCACAAATCAGTTACACTTTCAGTAAATATAACGAAGACACACATAACACTATCAAATTACATAAGTTAACATTAGTTCATTCATCACATATGAAATGAACTACATCAAAATCTTGCTGAAGACTTGAAGAAAACTGGACAAATTCATGAAATGCTGAGATCTGTTTATGAAGAAGGATAAGAAGCAGTTCCTTTTGCGTAGATCAAAAGTTTCAGTGAGTGTTGTAAAGACTGAAAGAATGATCCAAACCTGGGACAACGGTTTATCTCATATATTAAAGAAACATTGCTCACACCTGTTCGGCGATTTATGGTTCAGATAATTGCTTCAAACATACTATGTTTATATACGAACCAAACAGACCACATCGCACCACAAAATAGAAAACAAAATTTGTACAAGATTTAGCCATAAGTGGCTATGAATGTTGGAAACTGTAATTAATAGACTGGGCATAGCTCAAGAATGACAAATCGTATAATAATAGTCTATAAATCAACACAAAGCTTTTAATAAGAGGAACATGAATATGCATAGCTTAGCTACTTAGTAATTATACAATAAAAATATTTGCATCGTATTGGTCCATAGATAGTTTTCAAAAGTTGCCATTCATTATTCTCGTGGCGATATAACACTTATCGAATACACTTGTAAAAAAACAACTTACTTCTTCAAATGGTGGTCGAAATGCTAAACATGATTGTATATAAACCATATCAACACGCATTTCAGGCATTCGTTCACTAATTTCTTCTAATCCTCTTCTATATTGATATTCCAATACTTTGTATAATTGATGATCTAGAAATGCTCTCCATGGTGCCATATGATTAGCTGGATAGCCACCATTGGTAGCAATTTCAGATAATTGATATCGCATTTCATTCAATTCATTTCTCCATTTAGATTGATTACGTAGTAAATCAATATCCAATAGTTTGATAATCTATAATTGGTCAAAAATAACTTCTGATGAGAATGAATTATCAGTCAAGTTGTACAAAGTTGGAATAATAATAATTATAATATAATTGAACTGCTTGATAAAGCGATGATCTAATGAGTAAAGAGAATACTGAGTTTTAAACCAGGAAATGGTAAGTTTAAACCTTGCACACCTTAGCTTGGTTTAAGTAGTTGAGTATAACTAATTAGACCTAGAAGAAATAAAGTTGCTGAAAGACAAGTATAAAGACCTGCTCAGAGTAAATGAATTTTTATAAGAAGTTTCATTTTAAACCTTTCATATTCATAATTGTTTACCATATTGTATTTTAACAGAATACACTGAGTCAATTTTGTTTTGAGGTTGCTTTAATCAGATGTGGTTGCTAACTCCACACTTAGATTATCAAATAAATATATGAAAAATATTACTGATTGAGATCATGAATCGATTGTTGTTAAACCACCATTGAAAACCTGGACGCATTGGACGGCCGTTTCGTCCCATTGTGGGACCCCTCAGCAGTGAGCATCGACGATCCCGCGAGCGGGATCCACGAAATTTCTTGGATTGGCTGAGGTTAGACATTGGATGCCGGCTCAGTGGTCCAGTAGGTCAAGCGCTCGCGCGCGAGACTGAAGGCTCAGGGCTCGAATCCCGTGAGCTGGATCGTGCATGCGCGCTGCTGAGGAGTCCCACAATGGGACGAAACGGCGGTCCAGTGCATTCAGGTTTTCAATAGTGGTTTGACATTAATCGGTTCATGATCTCAATCAAAACTTAACAATCTCCACAACCCCTATACTGAAAAATATTATTATTATTATTATTATTATTATTATTATTATTATTATTATCAGCTTACTCTTTCTATGAGCATATAATGTACTTTACGTAGACGACGATTTTCACTGATTAATTGTTGAGTTGCTTGTTGTAATTGTTGAATATATTGTTGTACTTGTTCTGTTTGATTCCATGTAATTGAACTTAATAAATTTTCTTTAGTGAAATTTTGTTTACAATTATATGATTTAATTAGACGTTCAAATGCTAATGCTGAATTAAGCATTAAAGGTTTTTGAAATGGTAACATTTCGCTATCAATAGAATTATAGAAATGAGCTACCTGTAATTGTATAGATATAAAATAAACAAATTTATTATTATTACCAAGTATTTATAGGTTATTACTAACTTGAATACATAACACTGGTTTAGTGATCAAGACTATTGGCTTACAACCAGCAAGTTGTCAGTTCGAATCCTGTGCCACCTAATCAGTTATTATTGCCTTTTGTGGAAATAGTTAGACTCACAGACAAATGTCAAATATCAGAACGGGTTTTGTGGATATTATAGTAATTTTAATAGTTGACATCATGAGTCAATTGAAGCTAGACCACCTGGAAGCACTGGATACGTTGGATGCTAGCTCAATGGTATAATGGTTAGGCGGTTAAGCGCGAGAATGATAAGTCCTGGGTTCGAATCTCGCGAAGCGGGATCGTGGGTGCGCACCGTTGAGGAGTCTCACAGTAGGACGAAACAGCCGTCCAGGGCTTCCAGGTTTTCCATGGTGGTCTAACTTCAATTCACTCATGATCTCAACCATTGAAATTATAATATATTGTAAACTCAAAATTGTCAGAAAATTAAGACGTATAACAGTGAAAATAGCTAGATGTGAATATGTGTATCAGCATGATGGAGTGGTGATTCGAATAAATGTAATGAGATTGCATAAATATATGTGTACGTTAGAGAAGATCTAGATGATCAGACATAACAGCAAGAAATTCTGATGAAATAAACAAACAATTAACTGATTATGAAATGAAGCAATCGGACACAAATTAATGATAATTAAGAGTAATATAAGTTGACAATGAATTCCAAAAATAGATACCTAATCAAAATAAGAGGAAGAGGTGTAGGAATGATGAAATAAATTTGCGATGACGTCATTATGAAAAGGAAAGATTTGCAATTGTTTCCTCTAGGATACATAAAAAACACTTCTAAAAGCCCTCAATTCCATCGACCTAAAACTTTTTGGCATTTATTCTTTGAACTACAAGTAAGGATTTTTTTTCCATTCTGACGATGCAGTTGTTAGAACAAATTCTTGTACGTTTGTATGCGCAGTTGGTGGTTACAAGTAAGGGATACTTATCAATCTTTGACTCTATTAAACAACATATTGTCTTATAAAAGATAATCAGCTTGGCTGAAGGATACATTTTGGTTAGTGTGTTCTTTAATCTTCTGTTAGTTGTCGTTGCAACAAAAAATAAGTTCTTCGGTTACTGTAGATTCTTTAGGTATTTTATTTCTACTTTTCCCATATTTCTCAAGAAATTTCTGTGGATATCAGTCGATCATCACAACCAAATCCTTAAATATATATATACTTCGTAGATAAATGACTACAAATTTACTCAAATCCACCATGGAAACCATTCCAAACTTATTATTCATTGAGGAGTAATAAATATACTTCAGTTTGCCATGCTGAAAGGCCACCTCTGAGAGAGTTCATATTTCATGAAGGCCGAAATACGTTTCCTAGTGGTGAAGATGATTTGTAGCTCAGGTGGATGGTTATAATGGAATTACGTTCTCTGAATCAGCTAATTTAATTATGTTTTCTCAGCTATCCTCCACCAGATCGAATAGTTGATTAGTGCTTTGTATTTGACGCTTGTTAGTAGAATACGATGACGAAGACATTCTTGGGTATGGTACAGATATTCTTTTATGAAAGCCTGACTTTTAGTGACATTCACTCTTTTTTGAACAAGGAGAAGCCTAATACACTTATGTGGTTTTTAACTGGCGGAGATTTGCAACTTATGTAGATGATTTTGTCTAAGTTTCGTTCACTAAGCTGGATGGTTTAATAGTGTCTGCCCAGAGAATAAAAGTTCATTCAAGTTTCCTTGTAATTTTTCATGGTTATTTAATAATATCTGAGTTTTAATCTCTATACTGAATATCCTACGAAAAAAATACTTACAGTTTGTGCAGTATTGCTCATCCACGATCTCACACCCGAGAACCGAGCTCAACACCACCTGTCTTGTGCACGAAAGCTTAACCTCTGAACCGCTGAGACGGGATCCAATGGTGTGCAAATCTGATTTAAGTCAATCCACAGTATTACACAACCATTTTCTAATGTCTTCACTGGTTACCTTCCTGATATCGCACATGGTTGAGATTTACTAGTCAGAGTCCACTGGAGTGCACAAGACAGGTGATCCTGGGTTCGGTTCTTGGGTGTGGGATCGTGAATGTGCACTACTGAGGAGTTTGATACTAGGACTAAACACCCGTCCAGTGATTCAAGGTCTTCAGTGAGTGTTTTATTTAAATCGGTGTTTTTTTAATAAAATACATTTTATCTGGCTATCTGTCAAATCAGTTACCTGTCTCAACATTACTGCATATTGTGATATCTTTTCAGCTTCATTTGTAGCCTGTATTAGTTTGTAAGGTATCGGATAGCCTAATCCAGACAATAGTTTCACTTCTCGTTGTAACTGCACTAAACCATCTGGGAATCCGACTTCTAAATGACCATCAACTGTAGATAAATTCAACAGAGGACCATTTGGATCAAATGCTAATGAGGATTGATTTGATTCCTTTGTTGTCGAAAGTGATAAGAGTCTATCACGCGACCATGCTTGAAATTGTTCATTGTGCCAGTCTTCAATTTGTTCAATTAAACTCAGCGCTTCCTGAAAAATAGTCAAAAACAAACTTGACTATTTCCTTAAGTAATAAAAAATGAAATTGTTCATATGTGTGTAAAAAGTTACAGGAACTTTAAAGAGTTTTTTTCAAAGAATAGTTTGCTTTAAAGAAGAACTTAATTTGTCTGAGGAAAGTCATCAAAGTAATTAATCACTTCACTGGAAAAGATTGGTGGACAAAGTCAACCAGAACAAATTGTACTTGGTCTGTAGATTTGTATAATTTGGTGTTATATCCCGACGAGAATTATGGATGGTAACTTTTGAGAACTATTCATGGACAAATATTATACGTATATTCTTAATGTATAACTATTTAGTAGCTAGATTATGTATATCTATACTCCTCTTATTAAATGCTTTATTTTGACCCATAGACTATTATTACACGATTTGCCGTTCTTGAGTTATGCCCAGTCTTCCACATTCACAGCTACTTTTGTCTAGATCTTGTACAAATGTTATTTTCTATTTTGTGGTGCGATGTGGTCTGTTTGGTTTGTATATAAACACAGTATGTTTGAAATACATGATTCATATCGACGAGGCTGAGATTAGTGTTCTGGACTTAACAGGCAGGGTTAAGCAGGAAGAAGGACCGATAAAGACGCTAGACTGCTAATACGGATTTATGCATCATTGGTCCGGTCGATAAATCACTGTTCTCTAATTGGCGGTATCATTTACGTTGTATACATTGACAGGAGCGCAAGGCCACAAGATATAACAATCGGCTATTTTACTGTGTGTTAAAGCAACTTTTCATATATGATACTTGGTGACAATCACTGAATACTACAAAGCAAATGAGATTAGTAGTAGTAATAGCAGGACTTTTGTACCACTTCTGATAGTAAAGACTAAAGTCTCATAGATGTGGAGTAGTTAGTCATCTAGTTTCGCTTCATGAAAAATAAATCATGTTTATCTTAGTCAAAGTTTGACCATTTAAATATTAAGTAAATTTTGAAAACTAATAAACATAAAACTTTATGAAGAATAATCGTAATTCCATAAAGGAGATTTTCGGAGTATGTTGAGTTTTACAGCCTACATCACCGATTATTTTTAGTTAGGTAAATATTGAAAACAAAGAAGCACTGAACAGCTTTTTGATCCTAGGACGACATTATTCAGCAGTTCCCATGAACGACAACACCGTAGATTGAACGCAAGATCTTCGGCTTAGCGAGCAAACGCTTAACCTCTAGACCACTGAGTAAGCACCAAATAGTATACATATCTGACTTTAGCAAATCTATGATATTGCACAACTATCTTGCAATGTCATTGGTGGGTAACTGCTTCATACTCAAAATGGTTAAACTTCACTGGTTATGGCTTTTTACTAGAATTCTTTGAACCATCTCCGGAAATCAGTCACTACAGAGTGTATTGCTAAGGATTCCCATACTAGTACGAAACGACCGTTCAGTTCTCCTTAGTTCTCAATCGTTTTTTAACTGAGTGCACTTCGGTATATTAACTACAGAATTCAACAATAATGCCTTGTTTGTTTTTGTTTGTTTTGTAGCAAACAGAACACCAGTGAGAATAATCAGATACATTTGTCACACCATTACAGGACTTGTTAATAAAATCTAACAATCATAAATTAAATGCTCAATTTGCAAAATGTCCATCAATTGTGTTAAGATGACTCAGACTTCATTGTTCTTGTATTTTCATACAAATTGCATTCTGTTTCCATTCGTTACTGTTCGATCCTTTTGTCTTTTTGCTGCCAGACATTCTGTTCCTGACTAAAGTCACATACTGCTTGCGTTGATATAAGTAGCACACACCACAATTCAAACTAAATAACATTTAATTACCTGTTCATATACACTGAAACGTTGTAAATCAGACAAAAGAAATTTTACAAGCATAAATTCTTCTTGTATACGACATTTCATCTGTCCTCCCCAAAGCATTTGATTTATACAATCGGAAATATTCCTAACTACAATTGTTGAAGATTTTTTTTGTGATTGTTCTTGATGATAATGTGGATTTGAGTTTGCAGTATTTGATTTAGCTAAAAATTCTTCATGAAACTAAATAAGAAAACAAATGAAGAATTTTATGATAATCAACTCAAAATTAATGTTACTGATCAATCTAACTTTATTGTAATACTGGCGAGACTCTAATTTATGGACGAACCAATCAGAAGCGTTTGAGAGATTTCAAAGTTACGGCACCAACTTCACTGTTTAATGCTAACGTATGATCGGTTCACAGGGAATTTTTTTTACAAAACGTGATAATTGAGCGGCTATAACAAATAAAACGGCGAGACTATAATTTGTGGATGAATCAATCAGGTATAAGATAATAGATCTCGGATTTTAACACGAAAGCCTTTTATACACTTGGTTAGATAAATTTCTGGCATTATAGCTGATGTCAGTTCGTGATAAAAACCCCACATATAATTCTTAACTAAGGCGAATTACGACAATTATCGCGAACTGGATAATAAAAGCACCAGTAACATTGGCTACAGCCGGGTACTACAATATGTACGGATGATTAGAGAGCGTACAGACTCCTACATAAACTTGGTTATGTGCATCGTATCGTTATTCACAAGTGGCATTTTGTGTACTCAACAACCGAAGTGCACATAAACAATATTGAAGCTATGCGGTCGAGGCTGAAAGAGTTTTTGAGACTTTATCATAGCCTCAGAAGCGGACTATTCTGTAGCCATATGGATGATTTCCTCTACTGCAGGCATTACGATTTTAGGACCTCTGAATCTCTTTATAACCTTGACAAGTTTTTGAACCACATATAAGGAATATATCCACTTCATTTCCATGGTTTTGTATAATATACTTTTACTCTATACTGACTGTTTGCCGATTGGCTAATATTTCTCAAAGTCACTTGAGATTCGCTCAAAGGTTATCCGCAAATTAGAGTCTCGCCGTAAAACTCTATGGGAAATTAACCAAATTGACAGAAGGAGTAATGTATGATCCTACTAAAGATATTGTATCCAAGATGTTCAATCTTTGTTTAAATTATCTATTGATCACTATAAAAGTGGGTTAGATGGAATCTAGGTTATTGATTCATAAAATTATTGACTTTCAGTATGTGGGGTGTCAGAATATTTTAATATTTCTAGTTAAAGTTTGTGAGACAGTAGTAATGAATGTTGGAAATTTAAAGGTGATATAGATCAAAATTAACGTCAATTATTAGCGCTGTTGCATTCCGTTTCTTATCATATTCTTCGTTCCTCGATTTCATACATTGTTTACCAATTATAAATTTTATAGTTGATTTGTTACGACTATTAACACAATCACTTGAACTCCTTTCAATTTTAGCGGACAAAATTACTCTTTGCTTTGGTGATTTGTTGTATGGCAACTTAAGAAACATGGATAATTTGGCTAGGTTTTTATAACTGGCGGACTGTAGATATTAGGATGTGATCTATCTAATTAGAATTATCGAAATATTACAAATTTATGGTTAGGACCATGTAGATTATGTAAGTCAGTATTGATCATAGTTACATAGATCCCGCCTCCCTACTATTTATCTTCGACTTAAATTTTTAAAAATTCTGCTGTTTTTTCAATTTTTTTTGTTTACAATGATCTCATTTCAGATCATTTTTGTCTTTTTTCTACTCCTGTGCTGCATGGTGACTATGTATTTTTCTGAGCATAGTGACACTGTTATGTCCCGATAAGCATAATGAATGGTAACTTTTGAGATCCATTTATGGACCAATACTATGCGTATATCTTTATCAAATCATTGTTGAATAACTAAACTGTTCATATTCATGTCCCTCTTATTATGAGCTTTATTTTGACCTATGAACTATCATTCTACGATTTAAAATTCTCGAATTGTTCCCTGTCCATTAATTACTACCTCCACATTCACAGCCACTTTTGGTTAAATCTTGTATAAATTTTGTTTCCTACTTTATGGTATGATGTGGTCTGTCTGGTTGGTATTTAAACCGAGTATGTTTGAATTACATGATTCATATCTCAGAGGCTGAGATTGGTTACCTGGACTAAATTGGCTGGGCTAGGCAGTAAACGGGACCGATAAGGACTCTAGACTGCTCGTACGTGTTTTATGCGTCATTGATCCGATCGATAATTTACTGCTCTTTAATTGGAGGTATCATTACGTTATACATTAACAGGGCACACAGGCCACAATTTATAACAAACACTGTTACTTTAAATTGTTGTTTAGTTAAATTATTTCATTGGTATAAAAAGGACAATCTACAACCACCCCATGTTAATAGTAATAGCGTACTCACTGATAATTAAATTCGAGAAGAATTTAGTGAAGAGTCATGATTGTTAGGTTACAGTTATGTCGTAAGTGATACCAGTAGTAAACAGGTAGTAATCAACTGAAGTTACAAAGATATCTCACTAGACCCTAACTCAGAATTCTAAAGGTGTCACTATAAGAACCATAATACTGGATTCGATTCCTCATAAGGTCGTGGGTGTGTTGTATTATAGAGTTCGATAAACGTTTTATTCTTCAAGATTTGAAACAGCTTATGATTAAAATCAACTCATGATGCAAATTATCTTTATAAGAGACCTTAAATCATAGAAGTAAAATAGTACCAATAATAATGATAATATTACCTCTTTCAATGAAACTTCCAAATAACCAAGGAGTAATTCTCTTTCTGACTGTAAAATTTTTGCAGCAATAGGACGATGAATTAAATATTGAAATTTCTGGAATTCCATCAAAATTTGATTTGCAACCATTCGACTGGGATAAGTAACACCAGAAGCTGAAGAAAAAAAAATAACGGAATGTGAATTCACTGCTATTTGTATACATTCATATGAATCTATGAAGGATGAAGGAATACTAACTGCTAGGTCAGCTATACAAGTATTTACATATTTATAACAATTTTATCTAAGAAAATATGATTAAAAAGAATACTCAGTCAATCAATCATTCATTTTCTATTAACTTATGTGAACTGGTTCTATAAAGTAGACTAAATCATCACACTTCATTATAGGTAGAGTAAAATTGAATCCATTGTGTCGAACCGCTACAATCCATTTGAATTGAATTTGATCGAGTGTTCATTTTATTCAAGATCGCTTAGGATCCAGTTATTTACGTGATCTTTTTCGACCGTTCTGATGATAACGTCTATCAAATATTTAAATAGTATAATAGTAGAACTATGAAATTTTCGGGATCATAACAAAAATTAGTCATGAGGATTATGATGTCAAAGGGAAACTGATGCAGAGATTCGACTACAGTTTTTAGTGAGATAAGCGCTGCGTGCCACGGTGACAATAAAGCAGTTGTAGAAATGATTTTTCTGTATTCATGATGTATTACTAATTTAGTATAAAAGTAACACATTATTTCAAAAAATAAAAATGAACGACCAGAAAAAGTAGATACAGTTATACTATCAGTATAAGTTTGTGGTGATTGTTGAGTTTTTATTGAGGTCATCAACAGATCAGTGTTAGACCACCATTAAAAACCTGGAAGCGATGGACGGTCATTTTTTTCCTGGCATGGAACTCCTCAGTAGTGCTCATCCATGATCCCGAGTGCGGGACTCAAACCTAGGACCCTCAGCTTCGTCGAATGCCTAAGCCCTAGACCACTGAGCTGGCACCATTTGCGTACAAATCTAATCATGTCGGGTGTGAGGCAATTACCCACTGACGACAATGGAAGATGGTCGTACAATATAGTGGATTGACTCAGTAGTCTAGAGGTTATCAGTTTGGGTGCGAGGCCTAAGACCCTCGGTTCAATTTTCGAGTGCGGGATCATGAATGCTCGATTTTGAAGAGTCTCAGACTGGGATGCAATGGCCGTCTAGTCCTCTCAGGTTCTCAGTGGTGACTTAACTTAGATCGATCATGATCGTAATGAAAATGTATACTATGCTGACAAACTTCATCTCGAGCAACTTATCAAACAACCAAGAAATGATATCTTGTTATTCAGCAATGAGAAATAGAATTACAGTGGATTGTGATTTGAATATTATAAGTAACCATTAACATGTTATATTACTCTTTCTCGTAAAGAATAAAGGTCAAGTCTACATATCAACAGTTGGGTTACTGTTGTCACTTAAGATTGTAACCCTACACACTTTTCATCACCAACTGACATCACCCACATATCAAGAAAGTTAGTGCTAGGTATTAAGAAATTAACTAAAGTTATGGGTTAGGATTATGTATTAGGTTAACGGTATTCATCATGAACCAGCATCAGTTATAATGCAATGATGCATTGTAACACTTTTATTAACAAACTTAATAACTTTGGGATTGAAATGTGGAGTCAAGAATTAGAGTGAGAGAATACTATCTAGCTACAGAAATACGTTTGACTGTGAATTGAGTCACATTAAGTTCGTGAACACAATGTGCATTAGGAATAGGTATGTCTTGCATTCTGGCCTACGCACCATATCATGTTCATTATTTGAGAATACTACTACTGTGGTGTATGCTGCTTATGTCGACATGAGTAGCATATAACGCTAGTCAGGAATAAAATGTCTGTCAACAGAAGGTCAAGAAGATCGAGAAGGAAAGAATAGAAACATAAAGCAATTGGTATGGAAATGCAGTAACATTGAAGTCTGAGACGATCGACTGATATTTGCAAAAAGGACAGTCAAGTTTGAGACATTTAAATGACATTTTGCAAACTAAATATTTACTGTATGCATCTCAGATTTTACCAAGATGTTCTGTAATTTCGTATTCAAATACATTCTATTGTCCCATTTGTGTTCTTGTTCATGACACTACTACTACTACCACCAGTAGTAATAGTAATATTAGTAATATTAATTATTGGTTGAAGTTAGACATTAACACCTTTGGATGCCTGTTCAACCGTCTAATGGTTGAGCACTCGTGGGCGAGACTAATAGGTCCAGGGTTCGAATCTCATGGGTGGGCGGTATCGAGAATGCGCGCTGCTAAGGAGTCCCATACTAAGACGAAACGACCATCGAGTGCTTCCAGGTTTTCCATGGTAGTCTAACTTCAATTGACTCATGATTTCAACTATTGACATTAATGATAATTATGTAAACACAAAGGATAAACTTACAATCAACTTTATTTGATAAACTTAGTAATTTTGTTCGAAATCTATTAATTGCACATTCTTCAATTGGTTGAAGACGTATATCAATTAATTGTATAACAGATTGCCATTGTTCAATTGTATAAGGATTATATGCTAATGGATTAATAAATTGTTTTAATATTGGTGATATTGTCTCTTGTTTAAGATTGTCAAATTCGAATGTATTAAACATGATATTATGTAATCCAGAATCCATGTTGAATTGATTATGTTCAATGGGTGTTGTAAAATAATATAATTGTTCATATAAACCTCGTAAGTTAAGTATCTAAGTGAAAACAAGAAGAAATTAGTTTATTGTTTTTATTTAAGACATAGATATGGAGCTTCAAATGTATTTTGTTCTTTTCATGATTCATCATCAATGTAAGTACATCATCATTCAACATTCATTTCTTTTAGATCTGTATAGCTAATTCATCCTAAGTGATGTATATTGAACTGATCAAATATAATCCAAATGATAAACACACGTCATTGATTGTAAATGTGATTTTATTTTCTAAGAGAAAATGTTGTATATTTCCTTCTCTTTCTTTGTCTTACTTAAGTTTAAGGGTTGGCGTATAGGAAATTTATATATCAGTGTTTGACCAGGACAAAAGCCAAACATAATATCTATGATTTATAAGACTTCTGATTCATCAAAACATCATTTTATACATAGAATACAGTTTTCCTATGAACATCGAATAACTTTTCTTGTATTGTTAGCTGATTATCAAGTCATTTTGTAGATATCAGCTGCTTAGAAGATTTCAGATTAATTAATCTACTAAGTTAATGCTTCATTATTAAAATTTGAATTTCAGTATTTTAATTCAGATCATGAACCGATTGATCTTAGACCATCATTGAAAACCTGGAAATCCTCAACAGTGCGCATCCACGATCCCGTCTCCAGCGAGATTTGAACCCAGGGCCCGCAGTTTCGCGCGCGAACGCTTATTCTCTAGACCACTGAGCTGGCCGGCATCCAACAGTGTTTATGTCTAACCTCAACCAATCCACAAAGTTGTACGACCATCTTACACTGTACTGAGGTAGCTACCTGTCTACCTGACACCGTATAGCTATAATGGTCACGGCTTCTCACTAATATATATCATATGGTTGAATCACGAATTGACTATACAGTTTAATTGATTGAATGAACTTTGATTAGGTAAATTCCTCATATTTTCTACTCATTTTTTTTTCTAGAAATCTTTTATCGAAAGTTGCTACTAAACAGTTATTCGTCATTATTTAACAAAGTTCAATTCAATAGGATTTATTTCATTTAAAGAAAGTTTTTTTCAGTTTAGGTACATTTGATTGAACTCTTAAACAGATTTCCAGCGAGTTCTAGAATACTGTTTGATATTAACAATATTTAAAGTGAATCCTAACTAAGATGCTTCTCCAATAACTCTGTTTTTATTATTTGAAGACTGAAGAATTCCTAGTAGTTCACCAAGTCGAATAAAGCTAATGTATGTCTAAGAAGAAAAGAGAACTAGATGTTTGTTTACCAAAGTTTCATATAGACGTGGACGGCCTTAAAGCCTATAATCAATGCATTGAGAACATCTTCAAGTATTGTGAGAAAAGCAGTTTAGTTTTCCAAAATCTCTTACTTCATTCAATCGATTTTTAAACTGGATTAGATATGCCAAATTTGGTAGAGGACCATTCCATGGATGTGGTGTATAACGTGGCCATAATTGTTGAGTTAATAAATCAGTAGATTTTATCCATCGTTCGCATGCTTCAATGCTTAGTTGAATAGCCTGTTTAACCTAATTATTATGGTGAACAAAAAGATAAATTTGGAAAAATTATACAATCCGTCAAGGAAGATAGAAGAAACTAGTTTTAGAAGTCTAAAACTTCGCCCTCCCATTGTTTCATGAACCCTTATCGTATACATATGCCGTACAAAAATGAGTAAAGAGGACTTGTATCAGTCTGTAATTTTATTCAAATACTGCTAGTAATGTTAGTAATTTGAAACAGAACTCATCAGTAAAGTATCTGGATTCATCCATTCTCCTAAGCTGAATATTTTCGACAATCTAAGTTCAAGCATACTATTGCAAGTAATAACTGATACTTTAAGTTCAAAAGCGACTATTTGTAAGATTTCAATGAGTGTTTAATGAATAGACGAAACCATATACTTTCCTCTGAAAGCAAAATTTGTGATTTAACTAGCGCTATAATCGACACTGATAGTTTAATCAGGTTAGTCATACAACACGAAATGCTGACCGACATGAATAATTAAAGATTTGCATGATTCTGTAACATTCTGCACTGAAAGTTCACAATTATATTCTCAATGAGCTCGATTTTCATCAATAAAAATATTCATTCGCTCTTTAAATAACCAAGATTTGCTAAGAGAGTACTGATATACAATGATATCCAGTGATATACAATGATTCGTAACAGCAAAAAAAGAGATATACAATTTGAATCGAATAATCTTAGAATTATCAGTATAATGTTTTTCCAATATTATTGAGTGCTATTGAGATTCAATAGATAAAACGAGGGGTAACTACTAGCAGTGAAAGATTACAAACCATTTTAATTTACAAGACCAATGAAAATCAAAAAAACACTTGACAATCATTTCATTCTTGCATGGGACTCATCATAAGTTCACACTCACAACCCAACTAAGAAACCAATTCAAAACCTTAGACTCTAACAGAGAGAGCTAAACCTCTAAATCACTGAACCGTTATCCAGTTGTTGATACTTTTAACTACCCATAATCTTCAAAACACCGCACAGAGATAAATATCGTATAGCTAATTCTGATGAAAATTCGCGACCGATGGAGTTAAGTCATGTCGAGTGTGAGTCACTTATCAACCGAAAAGGATAAAAGATGGTTTCAGAGTATTGCGAACTGGTGGAAAATAGGAATGTGATCTCAATAATAACCTTAGAACTGTTCGCCGTAAAGTAAATCAAATTTTATTACCGAAACACTTCAGTTTCCAAACGCTCCTTCAAACACTTTCATGTCTAGATAACATTACTGTAATATAAAGCTAGGTGACACAGATCATGTTGAATAACATGTTCTAATAACACCATATATATATATATATATATATATATATATATATATATATATATATATACATATATATATATATATATCTGAAATTAAAATACTAACGACAAGATTTACCCAGACTTCAATCCCAAACGGGGTCAATTTTTGAAATACAAAGAAAAAAGATACTTATTAACAAGTTATCTGATATTTTTCATTTAAAAATACTTACAGTCATGTAGCCAACCTTTAACATAGCTTGAGGTTTAATTTTGCCAAACCTTGTGGCTGAACATCCATATCGAAGAGAAGAAAGTATCTACTTACAGGGCAGAAAATGTTATTTGCTTATTGAAACTATTAATGAGTAGTTTAATGAATATCAACCAATTTTAGCCCTTGTCAAAATAGCCATGTGGATACATTTACAGATCTCACCACTCACTCCCACAAATAAGTTTAAAACCTAAAAATACTATTCATATTTACTGACAACGTTGATATCACTTTTCACGATGGTCATTCAAAAGATATATGCGGGTCTTAGAATTATATATTGTCTTGGTTTAAGGATGTACCTATTCATGATATAATATCAAGACGTAAAATGATCATGAACTGATTCAGTGAAGAACGAAAACACTTCATTCAAACCTGAATATTTACATCAGAAATGAAATAACTTGAAAATGTGTGTTTTGTACATCATCCATAAGAAACGCTAAGTGGTAAACATAGAAGTAAGATATGTACTGTTTTCTATTATTACTTTACAACCACGGAACTAAACTAATCACTATATTTTTGTGGTCAGAAGATTTCTAATACTAATGAAATGTGGTTTATTCGGTTTCAATCTACTCACTTCATCAAAAGGCAACGTCCATAAACTTGAGATGGTGATTTTGGCTTTCTCTGATAACGTCTGAACACTTCCCAGAAAACCTTGGATCATGCGTATTGTCCAGTAACTCAAACTTTCAATAAGTCGGCTCATCCTGTGCTCTGGATAAGGTTGTTTTACCCGTGGATCAGTGCACCTCCATAGTTCATCCAACGTATCTATCAAAAGCGAGTCAAGAATGTCAATTAAATCTGTTAGAAAAACTCCAAAAGAAGGCTGTTTTTGAGTGGAATTAGCACAATTAGTAGACAATCCCAATGAGTCAATATTTGAATCCAAGGCTGATTGAGATAAAGACTCAATACGATTGCATTCTTTGGCTGGACTTTCAAGAAGGGATGCAAAAACCTCACACTGCTTCATCTCATCTACATTATTATTCGAACAGCATCTTGATTTATTGCGCCAATAATTAACTTCATCCGTGAGTGTGAAAATACCTAGACAAAATATAGATAACAAGGACAGATAAAACTGTCCTATGATCCAACTCAAGTATAAGTACAAATACAAAAACAATTCAAAGCTAATTTTTAGGATTTTTGATTACTACACTGTGATGGCTGGAAATGCCATCCAACTTAACAATTCAAATTGTCATACACAAATTTTAACCTTAAACTAGTATCTTAAGGTTTTTGTTGGTAAAATTCTACAACTAATATGATGTGATTTACTTACCTGCAAACAAACGGGTTGGATTTTAAATATCTCTTGGAGTGAAACTTTACAAAAATATCTCCGAAAAATTCGAACAAATAATCTTGCTAGTGAACTGAATATATTGTTTTGGAACCAGTAATAAGCTAAACTAATGTCATAATAATTATCAATGAGTTTATGGGTGTTAGTGACGGAGTTAGTCTTGATAGTTCTAAATAAATTGAGCATTGAGCTGAAAGTTATGTTCATAAACCTGGTAAGAAAACATAATTATGCTCAAGGAGCCTTTCCTGTATTACAAAGTTTATAAACATGTTACAGGTAAAATATCTATGCAAGTAGTTTCATATGTCACATTTTGGGTGAATTACTGAAATACTTTATCCGCGCACCACTCTCATTTAAAGACGAAAATTTAATAAACTTTACACCAACATTATCCGTCATCTATTTTAGTTCGTTCTACACTTATGTAATTCTCTGTTATTGTTGTCGTCGTTTATGAATCTTGTCATATTACTTGATAGAACTTGAGATATATATTTCCATAAAGTCATTACTTACAAAGTGTGATGGTATAATGTTAGACTAGATACAAACATAAAACACCACGAAAGTAAAATATTTCCTGAAGCTTTTGAAGAAACTTTTGTCCAAGGAAAGTGAAAAAACTTCTGTGGATGTTTTGCACATAAAAAATATCCATGCATTAAGTTTTCATCGGATGCGTCATTGGGTTAGAAATTACAAGTGACAGGCATAGTTCCCTTAGATGAAACTTTTCACCAAATATTTCCCCTGGTACATCTATAGTACATATACATTCATAGAACAAATTTGACCTGATTTACAAGGTTGGGAAACTAATTTCGGCAGTTAGATGATGTATATTTGAAAAATAAGTAAGTCATTTTTCAAAACGCGAGTTAGGTCCAACGGAAGCTTATTCTTTTGAACAACTAGAAATTATCTGAATGAGGCAAAACGAATGTTTGAGTTCGACAAAAGGGTCAAAAACAGGAAATGTTTTTGGTTACAGAAATAAGCAGATAATTATTTCATACATCGATTGTATATGTTTCAAAACAATGGTTTGAAGACGAAAAAAACTATTTGGCAAGTGACAGGCAATAATTCAAAACTCGTGATCGTTTACAATCATACGTAGGGGATAGGATATTAGGTGCCTGAAGCTAGTTTGGTTGACGAATAATGAATTTTCTAATGAGTTACTTGAAGTTATCCTCATACAACAATTTGGCATAATAATTTCTATCACATGTTAATTACTTGTCATGTTTTCGGAGCCATCACCCTCGCTAACGATGGAAGACAGTCCGGCAGCCAGATTCGTCAGAGCTATCTGTATCTTTGGGTCTTGTAACATTGATTTATCATCACCCTATGGAATAAAAAATTTATTTACTCTTACTTTTAGTAACAAAGGCGCGAATAATTTGCTGATAGATGTGTAGAAACTAAGAACTGGAGAACCAGGAATTGAACAAACCATAACGTTTGTTTTGTAATTTTTCTCATTTAAGTAGGTTGGTTGTAATTTGACAAACACGAGCATTTGTTTTGTATTGTCATGATGTACAATCTACTATGAGTATTTCTTAAAATATTAACTCACCTCATTACAGAACAATAAACTTCCGTTTTTTCCGAGGTAGCAAGCAAGAGTAAAAATATTTAGGCAATCTAAAAAACTACTGACATGTCGTTCATTTTCAAGCTCATTCAAGTTTATGCTGTCCAGCTGGAAATATGTTTGAGCAGTAGAAAATATAAATTGTGATCTCGGATCCATAAAACAAGGTTGTGCGCACTTATTTTTACTTAGAGTACAGATGTTTCGTTTACACAGCCGTAGTTATGCCTATTGTTTACTTTTCATATAAACGCTAGTTTCATGACCCAACAAAACAAAGCATAAACCTCTTCAACTGTGAATTTCAAGAGTAGTTTGTAGATGGTTTTATGGTAACGACTAAACTAGTTTTGTTTGAAGAAAAGCGATGGTGTCTGAAATGAATGTTTTCATGTTATTCGGCACGGAGACGAGAATACTCTAAAGTTGGCTGCATAGTTTGTGTTGGAGGAATGAATGTAGGTCTAAAAATCCGATTATATTTGGTCAAATAATGGTGATTAAATGCTGAAAACACTGTAAAATTAGGATCGCACTGATGGAAATAACACAAAGCTTTCGAGGAGACAGATGTCTTGTTTAGATTTTCACGTATTGTTTCATAAACACGGTTCTGTTTTTCAGCCTGATTGGTATTTCCAGGTGGCATAGTAGGTGGTACGAAAGAGAGGATTTCGCAATACGAAATGACCAGTTTAAGCTCCCAATGCCGTGACATTGATGGTTCAGACAAACGTCCGATTTATCCATAGACAGTTTAAACGATTGAAGAATATGGATATGGACAAGCCGACAGCATCATGAAATAGCTTAAATAAGATATTATGCTGAATTGAATTTATTATTTCATTCCAATAGTTTTGAGACGAATATGACGCTGGTGAAAGAAGATCTGAAGAGTCAGTGATAAAGTACCACTAAAGTTTATCATAATTTTGATATTATCGCCGATGTCTGTTTCATTTTTATGATGATAACGATAAGATACTTAAAAAGACTTCGTTGTGTTTGCTCCTTCTTTTTGTTTTTGTGAACATACAAAAAGCATTTTCGAAAGACGAAAATTAAGTATCAGGTGGAAGCTCTAGATATGTTGTGCTGAAAAACCTGTTGTGCCCAGCAGAGCATCTTGGTAACAGTTTACTGATTCCCTTTTTATCTAACAATCTTGAAGGTACTTTCCCAGGCGAATGATTTATTACCACATATGATGGATCATCATCTAATTGAGCGAGCAACACCTATTCTGCTGATGATTCCATGTTTTTATAAGACAAAATACTCAGGTTTTCGTGAGACAACGCTGAATAATTCTTCGAATTCAGGATGCTCTGGACTTTAATCTTGTCATACTTTATTGTAGGGGATAACTTTTATTAGTTGAATCCTTTAATCTATCGTTTCTCTTACGATATGCGTAGACCAAGAATCACCCGCCTTCCATAATTTGTAGAAATTTACTAGCAATCAGATGAACATCAAGAGGTTCCGTTTCAATCGTAGAGTTTAACATTCCTGAGAGTGTCTTTTTCAGAAGGACACTATCGGCTGCCGAGTGATTAGGAGTACGCTCGATTACTTTGTTGGTGGGCTATTTCACTGAAATCCAGCGGGAAATGGGGTTCGAACACGTTTAAGCAAACGCCTAGGATAGCTTATTTTTCACCTTTCAATAACCCTATTAGCCCCAGAAATCAACGTACAACCTTTCGAATCGATTTGATAAGTAAAAAATAATAGAATAGTTAACTTCAAGGCAAAGAGTCCAGTGAGTACATCTGAATGCACTAGTGATCAATGACTGATCCACAAACGGATCATTATTGTGTAGAAAACTAAATTGAATTACTTTTAAACCTCTTAGTTAGATTCGAAAAATCTGCCAGTACTTCTTGAAACTTCTCAGCTACTACGTGCGAAGTTCCCACCAAAGTTAAATAAACGACTTGACCTTGATTGCCACTTGTTATCTCGATATCTCTCAACGTTTCTGACAAAGTTCCTTTGTGTAGTCTAAAGATTCACATTTGTCTAGAGCGCTTATTGCAGGTATTACCAGACAAAAGTCTGAGATGAACAACTAAAATAATCGCTTTTAAGTCTAATGTTTAAGTTTTGTGTCTGGGAGTTTCGATTTCGGTATTTTTAGCAGGAGAGTTTGTCGTTAGATTTCAGTCTCATTTTGAGGAATGATTCTAAGCACCGCACATATATCCACTGGAAATGAAGTGTCAGAATTCCTGTCCCTGGAGTCTACTTAGACACCACTTGGTAGTTGTCACAACGTGCAGAAAAGTTATTCGTTCTCCACATTCTTGCGGGTCTGTTTGAGCAGGGCGCATGGTTGACTACATGTAATCGATAAGGCACCGAATTTCCAGTTGTACTGATAAAACTTTCTCGATTTTTTATACTGTACTGACCTGCTCTGCGAACCTGAAATTTGTCGCTGCGGTAACCTCTTCCGTTTCCTACAACTAATTTACAGTTAGACAGTGGTCCCTGAAAGACCCTCGACCTATTCATTAAGCTCTTTTGTGCATGAGTCATTAGGTGGTTTATTTTTAGGTTGGATTTATGGTAAGGTGTCCGGGTATATACATTTAGGCGGTTTTAGATGTAATACAGTAGGGTCTGTATCCATTCTGTTTTTAGAATTGCTTCATTCACAATCATGACCTAAAGCTTAATGTTCCTCCGTGAAAACATCGTTGAATTCTTTGGCCATTTGATGTTCCAATATCTTGCGTTCTATGGGAGTAATCGGTCATGATGTTTGGTCACTCAAAGTAAAATCATGGAGTTTTTCACTGACTGAAGAGTGAAGTACGAGGCACAAATCCTGATATAACATTCCAATGGACTTTGTTTGAGCATGGGGAAGTAGTTCTTTAAACTTCATCAAACTACAGCTGTGGGTCGTCACGATGAAAGATGAGAGTCAGGGTTTCATAGTCACAACACTGTCTTCCTATACTAGTGTAAAACTGTGCCCATTTTCATCATTATCACTTTGTATTGAATCCGAAAGCTTACGATTCTGATCAGTATCTTAACGAAATATAAACCGAGAAAAATAAGCTCTACACTAACGGTGAAATCAAAATGTTTTCAAATGAATAACAGTGCAACTATTAACTACACCAGTTCATCAAAGGGCAGTCTTTTTATAAGTACACATAAAATGTTTAAGATATTGCTTGCAGTCGCTGTTTTGCCCATTTTTACTCTTTGATTGGCTTGGAGAGCAAATGGGTTTTTTCAAAACAAGTGATTACGCATGTATTGGACACTTTTAGGTGATATTGTTTTGTGGATAACAGAAAGCTAAAAGACTTCAGCTTACTATCTGTCGAATCTAACTCTCATCGATACAGCTTTTCCGACCCAGTATGCTGTTGTACACACAGTTTTGATAAGAGCATAGTTAAAACAGGCTAACCATATGAGGTCATGAATTTTCGTTTTTCTTTGACACATTATTGCTCAAGCTACTAAACTCGAATCAGTACGGTCATTACAAAGAGAAAACAACCAAAGCACATGTATCGAACGGTGGTCGGACTGTATAATTGAAAATCACAAGAATTCCAATATAAATGTGATCATTATGGGGAAGGCGCTATAAAAAATATCTAGTTTTAACGCAATAATTCTCTAAATTTTTCGACAGATGTCACGGAAAAGCCTGGCTATCATAACAATCCAGAGGTTTCCACTCATGTATTCCATTTTTTCCTGTCGATTACGCACGGTAAACGCAGTGCCAAAAAAGCTTAATAGCAGATGGCTTTAAAGTTACTGATTAGTACATTCTGGCTGATGAGCATCCACAGAGTCTAGATCAGAACTCACTTCGCCCTATCGTTTCTTATCAGAAGACAGTTGTATACGATCCCACAATGACAAACTATATAGTGTGGCCAAATATCTATTTGCAGGGAAGTATTACTCGACCAAGCAGGCCTAAATTATCTAGGAATCTTAAAAAACTTGGATTGTGAAAGGGTTTCTTCATTCGTTCTCTCATTTATATAAGTTAATCCGATGATGATGTCACAGGTATTCAGTGTTTGACAACGCTTTTACCAGTAACACCTAATATGATTTTTACCCACCGAGAGAAATCAAAAGACAGAGTCGAGGAGATCGGAAAAGTGTATTTGGCGATTACCAATATATCGGAATTCTCTGATCTAATCTGGCTAGCGATTGCGGTAGATGTTGAGCACGGCGTTACCACACGTGATCTGGTGCGGATGCACGACCGAGCGCCTTCAGCTAGATGAGTCCACTAAAACTAATCTGGTCAACATCCAATGTCGAAAACTTACAGAGCTATTTATTTTGGGATTTATTTACCGCTACAGATCACTCCCCCCTAGTTGGGTAGTGATGACCCTAAGACGTGGGCAGCCAGAAGTTTAAACCCAACGAGTTTGTCGTTGGTAAACACTCTTCTGATAGCTTACTAAGTGTAGCAGCGTCTGGTCGTCTTTCCTTACTTTATGGAACCGAGGTACAACATAGTTACAACGAAAATTTCGATTCCTCGTAAACCGCATCGTTCTTTTCCAGCCGTCCTGGAAAAGAAAAAAGAAAGTGTAAGTGCATGTCGAAATACACTCGTATGTGCGTAAAAACACAATGTCGGCGAAAAAATGGAAAATATACTCAAGCACACGTAATAGCGTTAAAAAAATGTTTTTCTATGTTCTTTTAAAAATAAAAATAAAAATATATAAGCATATTAAAATTGTCTTTTTAAAAAAAAATTATATATCGTAAAAAGAAAGATCGAGATAATATAAGATGTCGAGTAGTGCCTTACGTGCAGTAGTCGTTTAAACGTTCTGGAAATCTTACTCTTCTTCCAGAACGCGTCGTTTTAGCTATATTTTCAGATACATTCGGAGTATCATCGCTAGTGTTGGTTGTCGGTTGAGGAATTATGAGTTTAGGAGTCGTGTTGTGCGATTGTACCGAAGGAAAATCCACGTAGATAGGATTTCCTTCTAAATACGCTGCTTTTAAGCGATCGATGCTGATGCTATCGTTGGTTCCGTTCTTATCGACTATATAGTACTTAGATTCACGTTGAAGAACTTTGAAGAGTCCTTCGTATGCTGATTCGAATGGTCGTCGATGCGAGTCTCGACGAACGAAAACGTGTGTACTATATCGTAAGTCAGGTTGAACGAAAACATCGGTTGATTGTGGTCGAGTGGAAGCAGGTTTAACTGAACGCATTGCGTTTGTAAGCCTGTC